GATATTCTTGTTCTGCACCCCAGTGGATTGTCATACCCATTACCCCACTTTGGAGACTGCTGCTGTAATAATGATGATTGTGACAACGGAAGTCACCGTTTATTAAACACTTAATCTGTACCTGGCCATGCTTAGTATTTCACCTGCCTTATTTCATTGAATCTTCGCAGAAACCTTAACGAAAGTGTCATTTCAGAGATGAAGAAACTGAGGCAGAGAAATTCCATAACTTGCCCAAGTTACTGAGCTCGGAATTTGCATGGTCAGGATTTGAACTTGGGCATTGACCACAAAGCCTGCATTGATTCTAATGCCACATTGCCTCCATTGTAAATGTTTGGGCTTATCATAATAAAAGCCACCGTTTCTTGAGCCTTTACTGTGTGCCAGGCGCTGTGCTACGTGTTTTCCATGTGTTATTTCATTTATTTCTCAGTATCTGTGGGTATTTCTGTCTGCATTTTGCAGGCATGGAAATTGAAATTCAGTTTAAGTAACTTACTTAAATAAAAAACTGCTTTGCAACATCTGTGCCTCAAAGCCCATGCCTTCACATGACTTGGACAAAACCCTTCCCCTATCCACATCTCTGTGGTTGAGCCTTTCCTTCTAGAGTCAGCCTGGAGCTCTCAAAGGGGAAGGAAGAAACATGATTGATTGCAGGCAAAAGGATGAGGCAAGGGGTGGCCAGAGCAGCACAAAGCCACCCAGACCATTCTTTCTGCTCTTGTGTGGGTTTCAGGAATGATCAGTCATGATAAGTCGTCACAATGAATCTCATCTAGATCTGAGAGAATCAGGTTCCTGGGAGGAAAGAGGCACAGGTCTGGAATGACCCCGTTTACTAGTCTTGAACAGCTCTTTCAACCAAGATGATGAACGTTGCATATTGGCAGGTGGAGATGGGGAGCAATCCTGTGGCCTGGGAGATAACCCTCCTAGGACTGATATTCTGCTGTGAAAATCCTGGGTTGAAATCTCTAAAAGCCTCTAACTGTAGATCCTACCAAAGAGGGAGTGATGTATTGTTCCCACTTTAGAGATAAGAAACTAAGGTTCAGAGAGGGATCTGGCTTGCCTGAAGTTACATGGGGCAGACTGGGAACCAGAACCGGGGTCTTGTTCTTTGGACTCTTCCTGGTGTCCCATTGCAGCCAAGACCCACAGTTGTGTGGCGGCTTGTTATGATCGAGGGCTGCTAGGCAGAGATGTTGGCTGCTTCCTGGGCCCTGGCAAGTCACTTTCCCTTTCTGAGATGCCTTTACCCCGTCTAGAAAATGAGGGACTTGGAGTCGTGGATTATTAAGGGCCTTTCTGGGATTCTGAAATGCTGGATGTAAAATATTCAGCCCATTTGAGCAGTATGGTCTGGGTTGCTCTGGAAGGGTTCAGAAGCCATCTTAAAGCCAGAGTAAATGGTGTATTTATGATTAGCTCAGGAGCTTCCCAGAGCCCTCAGAGGAGGGGCTGTGGAATCAGCAGGGGAACTGGCTCTCAGAACTGCAGTCTGAACATCTAGTTCTGAAAGGAGCTTGCTTTTTACATATGAACCGTGCACTCACACAAGGCACATAGAAACTGCTCTCAGAGCTGAGAATATCTTCCCAAGAAGTAGGAAGCACCTCCTTGGAGCCATCTCTCCTTGGAAAGGGGTGTTCCTCCAGATGGGCCTGGGCTGCAGCCAGCAGCTGAAATTTCCAGCAACAAGCCCAGAGGAAAGTGCTTCAAGGCTGGAGGTGCAGGTGACAGGCCTCAGGCCTCCCTCTGCCTGTGTCAACTAACTTCCTGGGTCTCATTCAGTCCCTGGTTCTCTGCTAGCCTTGGGCTTCCTTCACTGTCTCTCCCTACCATCCCCCAGGTCAGAGGAAACCCAGAGCTGGCCTCCAGCCATATCCTGGGGTAGATGTGGGCCCCCTCCTCCCCCCAACACACACTGGAAAGGGGGTACTGTTTCCATTTCCTGGTGAGAGCTGCACAGTTGTACCAACGGGCCGCCGGTTGCCAGGGAAACCGCAGGGTTTCCTCAAGCTGAGCTGAGCTGAGCTGCATTTATTTGCAGGCAGATCCGTCCTCTGCCTTTCACTTCCAACCCCATCTGATGACTGTCCTCTACTGACTGCAGTTTGGGGGACTCATAATCAGCCAGTGGGGACGCAGAGGCAACACAACAGAGCCCCTGTCCTCAACTTCCCACCAGCACAGTGAATATCACCATTTACTAAGAGGGGGTCTCGCGCCTGGGCCTCTTATGTGCTGCCTTTGACATAACTTAGGTCTTATCCTCCAACAACCCTACAAAGCAGGAAAGAGAAAGCTTCAGTTTTGTGCTTGAGATCACCTTGAACTCAAAAATGAGCAATAAGCCCATGGTCACATGGCTAAGATTTTCCCTAAGTCTTGGGGGAACAGGGACTATGTGGAGAACTGGAAGGCATTGAGCTGAAATGTCTCCATGATTTCTACTCTCCTAGTTCTGTTCCTTTTAGGTCTTACTGGGTAAATCTGATTGACTTTGTTATGTTTACCTTTTTTTCTTTTTCTTTTTTTTTTTTTTTTTTTTGAGAGGGAGTCTGGCTCTGTCGCCCAGGCTGGAGTGCAGTGGCCGGATCTCAGCTCACTGCAAGCTCCGCCTCCCGGGTTTACGCCATTCTCCTGCCTCAGCCTCCCGAGTAGCTGGGACTACAGGCGCCCGCCACCTCACCCGGCTAGTTTTTTTTGTATTTTTTAGTAGAGATGGGGTTTCACCGTGTTAGCCAGGATGGTCTTGATCTCCTGACCTCGTGATCCGCCCGTCTCGGCCTCCCTTCTTTTTCTTTTTTTGAGTCAGAGTCTCACTCAGTCGCCTAGCCTGGAGTGCAGTGGTGCCATCTCTGCTCACTGCAACCTCTGCCTCCCCAGCTCAAGCGATTCACCTGCCTCAGCCTCCTGACTAGCTTGACTACAGGCACACACCATCACACCTGGCTAATTTTTGTATATTTTAATAGAAACGGGGTTTCGCATGTTGGCCAGGCTGGTCTCAAACTTCTGGTCCCAGGTGGTCCTCCCTGCTTGGCCTCCCAAAGTGCTGGGATTACAGGCACAAGCCACTGCTTGTGGACTCTGTTATGTTTACTTTTAAAAAGCAATGCATAGGCATTGTTAAAAGAGATCAGGCTGAGCTTGGTGGCTCACACCTATAATCCCAGCACTTGGGAGGCTGAGACAGGCAGATCACAAGGTCAGGAGTTCGAGACCAGCCTGGCCAACACGGTGAAACCCGTCTCTACTAAAAATACAAAAATTAGCCAGGCATGGTGCCATACGCCTGTAATCCCAGCTACTCAGGAGGCTGAGGCAGGAGAATTGCTTGAACCTGGGAGGTGGAGGTTACAGGGAGCTGAGATTGCGCCACTGCACTCCAGCCTGGGTAACAGAGCGAGACTCCATCTCAAAAAAGGAAGAGATCAAATTGCCCAGAACTGCTTAAAGTGGAAAGTAGTGGTCCTTTGTTTCTCTTCTCCTTGTCTTAAGACAATTGTTAAACTTTCATCTGTTGCCCTCCTGAGTGCTCATTAGCCAGCTCCCCACCCCCTTCTCTTCTTCCCAAATCAGTTACATCTCTTTTTGCATTTATTTTTACATATCATATCTTTGTTCCTTCACTGTAGACCCCGTCTCCTGATACCTCCACCCCCATTCCTTATCCATTTTCAATGAGATATGTGTCCTGTTTTCCTGTGTGTTCCAGTCTTTTTTTTCTTGAGACAGGATCTTGCCCTGTTGCTCAGGCTGGAGTGCAGTGGTGCAATCTTGGCTCACTGCAGCCTCCACCTCCTGAGTTCAAGCAGTTCTCCCGCCTCAGCCTCCCAAGTAGCTGGGACTATAGGAATGTGTCACCACGTCCAGCTATTTAAAAAAAATTTTTTTTAATAGAGATCAGGTCTCAGTATGTTACCTAGGCTGGTCTCGAACTCCTGGGCTCAAATTATTCTCCCACCTCAGCTTCCCAAAGAGCTAGGATTACAGGCATGGGCTACCATGACCAGCCTGAAAAATCCAGTCTTTACGGTAGCCGCAGGCACTGGTCCCAGACTCTACATCCTACCACACCACTCCCTGCTACCACATCAGCCACACTGAGCTCCTGGTGGTTCCTCACTTGCACTGCCCCCTGGTGTGCCCCTAGTTGCATTCGTGAGATCCTCTGACCCCCTCCACCTGGGACTACACCCCTTGTCACTCTCCTCACCAACTCTTGTCTTTTCTCTGTAGTTCTTATCTCAGCCTGATGAGTGCATTTGTTATTCATTCCCATTACAGCATAAGCTCCAGAGAAACCGAGTTTAAAAAATCTCTCATAATTTCTGTATGCACAGTGCCCAGAGCAATGCCTGACTCGGAGTAGGTGCTAAATGAGTGCATATCGACTTGTTCAGGAATGACAGTCCTTCAGATACTGCAGCAGGTGGTTGGAAGCCCTTTGAGTCCTATCTGCAGGCAGTCAAGCTCTGGGTTCTGAAGCCATCCTTGTTGACTTGAAAAGAGGGCATGCATGGTGCAGATAGTATAGACTCTGGGATCTAGAAATTGTTGAATTCAGTTCTAAGCTGTGTGATCTTGGCTCATTTATTGTGATGCTCCAGCCTCAGTTTCCTCTCTATAAAAAAGGAGAATCTGATGTGTGGAAGGATTTCTGTGAGTGTTAACTGAGACGGTGGTGAGACAGGTACCCTGCCTAGTCTGGAGGAGTCAAGGGGTCAGTGGTGGGTCAGTGCCCTGCCCGCCCTCCCTCGGGGATGCACGTCCCTTTCCCATACTGCTATGAATGTCTGGACACCATCTAGTCTGTCCATTGTCTTCTGAAAAAAATGCGATCGGTCCTGAGCTGGGTCATTGGGTCTGATTTAACCTGAAGGGCTGGGGGCAGCTGGAAAACAGCAGAGGGAGGAAATGTAAGGGAAAGAAAGGGGCTGATTAGATCTGGGGGGAGTCTCATACGCTCTCTTTCTTTTCCACAGTGGATTCTGCTGCAGAACCGGAGACCATGGCCAAACCAGCACAGGTGAGGGGCCTCTCTTTCCTGAAGGTGATACTCTGCTTTCTCTGGGCCTGGGATCCTCCTGGAGTCACTAGGCCTGCTGCAGAGACCCCTGGTACCTTCAGCTTGAAAGAAGGAGGAAAGGTTCTTAGGCTTTGCTTGCTCCTGTTACAAGTCTCGGCTCTTCAGATGCAGCTCACCATAATGCAATATCACCCACAATATCCTAAGCAGAAAAGGATGTATATTGGCTTACCTGACAGAGAGGCCCAGGGCTTCAGGTCTGGTTGAATCCAGGGGTTCAAATGATAGTGTCAAGATTCTGCCTGTGTGAGCTGGGCTTCTTCTCGTGGCTTCATTCTTGGGTAGGTTCTTCCTCGCATTGACGTGGTAGTCATCAGCAGCTCCAGGCTTCCACTCTGCTGTCTTGGCAGCCCAGGGAGAAAACAACGTAACTCACGCCCAGTGATTCCAGGGGAAGGCCCAGGCCTGGTTCTCATTGGCTGGGCCTGGGTAACCTGTTCTTTCTTGGAGCGAGGAAGTGGAGTTGGTCCCACCTGAACTATTTGGCCTGAGGAAGGGAAATAGAAACTTGACAGGCAAAAAGGCAATAGAGGGGTTTCTCTCCTCTGGATATGCAAATGTTCTCTGTCACACCCATTTGGGATTGAATTTCCTTGGCTTGGGAGACTCTAACCTCAGTCTTTCATGTCTGACCACTCTGCCGGGCAATAGAATTGGAGGCACTTGAGAACTTTTACTCCCATGTGGCTGAGACTGGGTTCCGGCCATGGTCAGAGGTAGGACTCTGACCTCGACTCTACTCTGTTGAGGCTGGGCACGGTGTCTCTCACCTATAATCCCAGCACTTTGGGAAGCTGAAGTGGGCAGATCACTTGAGCTCAGGATTTCGACACCAGCCTGGACAATATGGCGGAACCCCATCTCTAGAAAAAATACGAAGGTGGCATGTACTTGTAGTCCTAGCTGCTTAGGAGGCTAAGGTGGGAAAATCACCTGAGCCCAGGAGATTGAGGCTGTGATGAGCCGAGATCATGCCACTGCACTCCAGCCTGGGTTACAGAGCAAGTCTCAAAAAACAAAAAACCCCGCTGCCCTCCGTTGGGGTTTGCCTGAGGGTGCTGTCTGTTGGCTGGCCTTGGAGAAAGTGATGCAGTCAGTGTGATGATGGGATTGGCAGGGAGAAAAAACTCAGGGATCTTGAAGAAAATCATGGGACTTGGCCCCGTTGTCCCTTACTCCAACCAACCCAGAACTACTGGCCACAGAATGCACAGACAGAAGCTGTCTGTGAGGTCTCTGGGCCTCATGTTCCCCTTATGGAATGGTTGAACTCAGTAATACCAAAACTCCATCCATCCTTGACATCATGACTGCCCCCAGTGAACCTGGGCTTATAGGATATTCAGTTTCTGAAGAGCACAGGATGTTACAGGATCAGTACCTTCAGAGAAGTCCTAGCTGTGGCCTTCATCTCAGCCACTGAGGAGTGCACTGTGTGTACAAGTGGCCTCTCTGCCTAGAAGGAAAGACTGTTACTGATTATGGGCAAAAATCCAAGGCGAAACTTTCACTGTTCCCCATTTCCTATGTGGAGTCATACTAGAGCTACTTCCTGAAGGGCATTTGAACTGCAGGATTCTAGATGATTGAAGTGGACAAGACAGGCCCTGGGAGATCAGAGAGGCCACGACCTAGGGTGCAGATCTTTGGACCTTGGTCCGGTGCTCTTGGGCCATGCATTCTGCCCGGCTGATCTATGGTTTCTTGTTGCCATGGACCAGGGGCCAGCAGACCTCCTGCAAGCAAGTCCCAGGGTGGCAGGGCCTTAGGGAACCCTCCTCCTTTGGGGTGAGTTGGCACCCTCCATGTACAGTGTTCTGGTGGGGCAGTAAAGGAGCTCTGGGGCACGCAGGAGGGCACCCCACCTAGGTTGAGGAGAGAGGGGAAGTTGCCTAGGGAGAGCTACTCAGGGGAAGAACAAGGGGGCTGAGAGTGGTCTAGGTAGGGACAACTGGGACAGGCTAGAGGGAGAGCAAATGCAGCATGCTCAGGGGAGTAAAAGTAATTTGGTGTGCTTGGGGTGCAGTGGTTTGGGGGAGAGGAGGGTTGCAGAAGACAATAACAGAGAAATGTGAGAAAAGCCTCCCTGCCGTTGAGCTGAAGTTGTTGCTTCCAGTTTTTAGCTGGGTTTTTAATTATTAGCTTGAATCTGGTGTCTTCCAAAACCCCAACACACGCACACATGCATGCATGCATACACACATGTGCATGCACACAGCAAACTGCTCCCTCTTCTCTGGCCTAGTCACACCCCCCAGTTCCTTCCACTGTGGTTATTGTGCTGTTCTCCCTATCTCTCTTTTCGGAAGAGGAGAACTTGAGGCCCAAAGACATGAAGAAATAGGGTGGTGTCATGGAAGACCCAGGAGGCATGGCGCTGGGGCCTCCATTTCACAGGGACGTTCTGGGTTTGAATGCAATAATGAGCGTAAAAACACCTTGAGGACAGGGCAGGATAGGCAGGTGCTTGTGCCTGGGACTTCTGGGCTGTGGAGGTGAGGCCTGGGTCAGGACCGGCCAAGGCAGCTCTCAGCTGGAGTCCTGGCCATGTACCTGTCTCTCTGGGGACATTGCCTCTGCTCCCAAGAGGCCACCAAGACTCCTGCTCCAGCAGCAGCCTGGGTAGGGCCCAGCCCCGCAGAGCCCCAGGGCCCGGCTGCTCACCATCTGGCACCAGGACCTGCTGAATATTTCAGGGTGGAAAGTCCCTTCTCTGCTGTCCCCTGCCTTGATCATGGGTTCCTGCAGCCAGGTGCGACAGGCAGTCGGGGTGGGGTGGGTGAGAAGCCTGTGCAGCTGCGCAGGTGGCGCTTAGAGATGAAGAATTCACGAAGCTGGTGTGAGAATGACACGGTGGGAAGCCTGGGCCTGGATGATTTGAGGGGCTGTCTCTGTGTCTCCAAATGTGACCAGTGCTAAGCCCCCTACCTTTGCTTCTAGTGGCTATGATCCTGGGGGGTCCCAGGACGACTAATCTAGTAGGTCCTCACTTGGAAGATCTTACTAGTCCTGTGCAAAGAACTCTGCAGGAGCCCAAGCTTGCTTCTTGAGAAGCTTGTCTCTAAGTGAGCGTTTTGATCAAGGCTTGTATAGGTCATTAGGTGCCCTTCCCTCAGTGTAGCACTTCAGCCCCTTCCCCAGACACTGCTGTGACCACCCACATTGTATGAGGGGGAGAACAGTGGAGGGGGAGGAGCGGCAATAGGAAAGGGGGTCTGCGTGCTGCCTCATCCCCCGCCCTTCCTCCTGGGGACATGCTTCCCTCTTCTCCTCATCCCTTCCCGGCAGCTTACAATCCCATGACCTTAGCGACTCTGGGCATCTGGCTGTGAGCTCTGAAGAATCTGGACTCACACTCTGTCTTGGTGCTGGTCACCACCAACACACCTCCACCCCAGCAGACAGGTTAAAATAGTTTCTAGATGCTACATATCAACCAGACAGGTATTGATTTGAACCATTTGAAATCTGCTGCTATTTGACTGTTTTTAATCTACCTACAAGGCAAGTTACATGGCTCAACCTAGTAAAGAATGCCAAATACTAGGGACAGGGTTTTGAGTGGCCAGCTTTGTGTAATACATAAGGAAAACAATGCCAGGGTGCCAGAGCCTTGCCTTACCCAGATCCTGGCTTAGGTGTTGCGCCCAGGCTAGCCCAGCAGGGCTAGAGCTGCCCTTGCCAGCATTACAAGAGTCTGAATTGTTTATCCCCATCATCTTCTCCAGCCTCATCCCTTTGCCTTCCCCGCTTCTAGTGGATGATCTTAGTGACACCCAGCGTCTGCTCTGAGCACTGGAGACTCTGGGCTGGCTTTCCCAAGTGCCTCTTGCTTCCCTCCAGGCCTTTGCCATGTGTCTCCTCTGTGTGATACCTTCTTCCTCTTCACCTTTCCCCTCCCTCCTCTACTCCTTGGGGCTAGCCTGTTGCTCATCCCTCAGGACTCAGCTTAGACATCACCTCCAGAAAACCTTCTCTGATCTGCTTGCAATATATGCACAGTCATTCATCCATCCATTCATGAAACAAATATTCAGTGAGTGCTTGATTGCTCCAGGCCCTGTACTTGGTGCTAGAAATGCATCAGTGAGCAAGAGAGACACAGTCCCTGTCCTCCCAGAGCTTCTAAGGGAAATATCTCCTAGCTCCCATGCTGCCCTTAGCCTCGTATCCACCACACTGTCTTGTAGTTGAAGTTGTCATGTATCTCTCTACCAGATTCTGAGCTCTTAGTGGTCCTTGGTCCTAAGCATCTACTTAGTAGACTCTCAGTAAATGTCACTTGCTTGCTTGATTGATTGATTGAATGAATGGTAGGGTAGCCCTAGCTGCCCTGGAAGTGTGAGTATGTGAGTGTGAGAAGCACTTAGGATGCTGTGGATTGGACAGCATTACTGCCTTTTTATAGCCTTGAATATAGGGTCAAAATGGCATAGAGGCAAACAGCACAGGGCAATAACTCAGATGTTTCAGTATTCAAGGAGAGGGGCAGGCTGGTGTGGTTGACCAGGAGGAAGCACTGGGCTGTGTGGTGGTTGCCCCTTCTTATCTCCAGCTCTGGTTGATATGTGGGATCCATCTCCCACCCAGATGGAATCTGAGGGGAAGGGAGAGATTGGTCTGTTAGAAAGAGCCTTGGATTCCCTTCCTAGCTGGGCCTCTGACTTGCTGTGTGGTCTTGACATGTCACCTGCCCTCTCTGTTCTGGGTCTTCTGGGCCACAGGTGGTAATATTGAGACCAACTTTCCTCATTTAGTTCTCAGCTTGTGGTTCTCAAAGTCCTTTCCCTCTCTTTTTCCAAGTGAACCGTGGGAGGGACATCCTACTACTGAGGTGGATTACAGGCTGGTGCTACTGTGGATTAGGACAGGTTGGTCCAGACAGGTGGAAGGAAAAACAGCCATGAATCATGGCAACAGGCCAGTCTGCAGAGGGCCCGGACAGACCCTGGAGAACCTGCCCCTGGTGGCATCTTTCAAAGCTTAATATTTCCACACTGCTCCCAGGAGGCCCTGGCATTGGGGACAGCATTGCTAGGGATCCAGTGCCAGCGAGGTCTCCCTTCACCGTCTTCCCCTTCAGCGTCCTCCATCTCAGGGCTTGGGCCGTCATGGGTGTCTCCATCCATTCATTCAGCCCAGTCACAGTTCCTTCCAGCCTCTGTGCCAAGCCCGTGCTAGAGCTGGGGCTCCACGGTTCTTCTTAGGCAGAATGATTTGTCTTATTCTCAACAGTCTCCGTTCTCCATGGACTCAATAACTGAGTGGGAAGCTGAACTAAAAGGTCTTTAAGGATCCTTGCAAAGAAATAATTTTGATCTTCTGAGCCTTCTTGTTTCTCTCTCTCTCTCATTTTTTTTTTTTTTTTTTTTTTTGAGACAGTCAGTCTCATTCTGTCACCCAGGTTGGAGTGCAGTGATGCAATCTTAGCTCGCTACAACCTCTGCCTCCCAGGTTCAAGTGATTCTCCTGCCCCAGCCTCCCGAGTAGCTGGGATTACAGGTGCCTGCCACCATGACTGGCTCATTTTTGTATTTTTAGCTGAGACAGGGTTTCATTACGTTGGCCAGGCTGGTCTCTAACTCCCGACCTCAAGTGGTCTCCCGCCTAGCCTCCCAAAGTGCTGGGATTACAGGCGTGAGCCACTGCGCCCAGCCACCTCTTGTTTCCCCATCCATCTGAGAAGCTAATCTTGTCTGCTGTACCTTTTTGATGTTGCTGGGCTGGAGGTGTCCAGAAAGAAAGAGAAAAGAATTTAGAAGTGAAATTCCTAGAGGACCCCAGTTGTTCCATGTTCTTGTTCATTTATTCATGTGGCAAATACTTGAGTGCCCCCTTTGGTCAGTCTCTGTGCAGTGGGCAGAATGGATCTGGTGTCTGCTCTCAGAGGTTTCTGGATCAAACTGCCTGCTGGGGTGGAGGAGGCAGCAGGAATGTCTCAGGCTCCAGTTGTGAGGTCTGAAGTAAGACCAAGGGGAGCGCTGGCAGTAAAGCCCCCATCCTGCACTCACCCAGCTCTTTGCAAGGCGCCCTGCTCTGGGCGCCCTGCTCTGGGTATGTGTTACTCTTTACATCTCTACCCAGGGGCGTGATCAGGTTGCAGGGGATTCCCAGGTGGCAGGAAGACAGCTGTGTTCCTTTCTGGTCAGAACTTTAAATAGTAACTCCACGCCCACGCATGCATACCCCAGAGGAGCCAGCCTCTGCAGACAGCGACCAGAGAGCAAGCAGAGGCCTGGCCCGGGTCCTGCAGTGCAGACACTGGGAGGCACGGAGACCGGGAGACCGGGAGACCGGGAGGCGGGGAGGCGGGGAGGCGGTCCGGCGGTCCAGTCCAGGTCCAAGTCCAGGGCTTGTTCTGCTCCACCTCTGCCTCCCTGAAGGCAAGGTCTATGTGAACCACCCTCAATTCCCTCTTTTTTGGATTCTTTCCTGATTTCCTGCAGCTGGATCAGCCTCTGCTGTTTTCCCACATTACCTTATTTTTGTCTTAGTGTATTTACTACAAGCTTTATAGTAATTGATGTGCTTGTCTGTCTCTGCCACTGGGCCAGGAGCTCGTGAAAGACAGGAATTGGGTCCCCTTTATCCCCAGTTCCTCAGCCATTAGCGTAGGGCCTAGCACAGATGAAGTGCCTTGTCACTGTGCTGTGTGCTCAGTGACAGGCTCTGGCATCCTCCACTCTGCCAGCTCTCGGCTGCTCTCCCAGACCCCCCACTTCTCAGTGCCGTGTAACTGACCCACATCTGACTTCTCTGTGAACCAGTCCCATTGTGCATTCAGGTTCAGGTTCGATATCTAAGATCCCCTGGCTCTCTGCCGCTTCTCTCCTTCCCCTCAAAGACCAAGCCAGCTTGTCCTCAGATGCCGGTTCACAGCGCAGTTTACTGGGCCCAGAGGGGCAGCACCTCATCTTGGCATTGAACTGAGAGTGTCTCTGGACCCCCTGTGCCCAGGACCCCACCCTCAGTAGCTGACATCTGCAAGTTTCCTGGAGCTGGAGAGCAGGGGGAAAAGGTCTGGGTTCTGTGTGACCTCCCACTAGTGGCTCTTCTTTGGGCTTGGCTTCCGCAATAGAAATAAAATTAAGAGCATCTACAAATGGCTACACTAATCACATTCACAGAGGTGAAAGTGTAAACATAAAATGCTGTACAAATATGAGGGGCTGGCTGCGTGCACTGGCTCATGCCTGTAATCCCAGCACTTTGGGAGGCCAAGGTGGGAGGAATGTTTGAGGCCAGGCATTCAAAACTAGCCAGGGCAATAGAGTGAGACCCCATCTCTTTAAAAAAAAATTTATATATATATATGACTCTTGCTATTTTTGCAGGGATCATTTTCATCTCCTACACTCAGCCAGGCTTTTTTACCCTCTCCTGGATGCTTTGGAAGATGGTACAGGGCTGCAGGCCTTGGCCAAGCCCCTCTCCCTTGGGGAAATGGCACTGTCCTTTGGGTGGGTTGCAGCAGGTGGTATGAGAGAGTCATCCACACCGCTACCCGGGGTGTATGTGGCCAGCACTCGATTTTGCAGGGAAAGGAGCTCAGCCTGGACTGGGGTAGGTATCTGACCCGAGGTTGGGGGACTGGGTGCTTGGGCTCAGTCCAGGGTTGGCAGCTCACCCTCTACTTTTCTCTCCACAGGGTGCCAAATACCGGGGCTCCATCCATGACTTCCCAGGCTTTGACCCCAACCAGGATGCTGAGGCTCTGTACACTGCCATGAAGGGCTTTGGTGGGTGTCAGGCTTCACGGGAGCTTGGGGGGTATCCCCCAAATGTAGACACAGCCCAGAGCCCTTCTGGTGGTGGTGGTAGGATCTGTGAAATGGTGAAGTGCACTTATTCATTGTTTTTGGTCTCCTCTTTTTATTAATTTTCATGATGTTATAATAAAATGTTTCAGAAAAAAAGGTATAAAGAGTAATAGAAATTTCACCCATAGATTTACCACCCAACTTAAGAGCTAGTGCTTCATTCGTGTAGCTGAAATTTCCTTGGTAGATCCCCCTCCTGGTAATGCCGCCTGCTGCCTTTGCTTAGAGATAGCCACAGTCTGAAGGTGGTGCTTATATTCTTCTTTGTCTTGTGGTGGAAAGAACCCTGTACTGGGTGTTAGGACTCCTGGGTTTTCTAAGCCAGGTTCATTGTGAGACCTTGGACAAGTTCTTTCCCCTCTCTGGGCCTTAATTCCCTGACTTGTGCAGTGAGGAGCTGGATGGGGGTCTTCTGAACGCAGATAGTGTGTGTGCTGTGTCCGCTTTCAGTCGTGACTTAATAAGTCCCCACTGACCCTCTCCCCTGACACCAGCACCTGATGAGTGGAAGGCTCATGCTGAGGCCTGCAGGGAGCTACTAGGCCTGTGTCCAGGGAAGGAAGCGGCCCTGGTGGGCTTCCTGGAGGCAGGGTGGGTAGGATGATGATTGCTGTCTCCTATTCCAGGCAGTGACAAGGAGGCCATACTGGACATAATCACCTCCCGGAGCAACAGGCAGAGGCAGGAGATCTGTCAGAGCTACAAGTCCCTCTACGGCAAGGTAACCACGGCAACCAGAGGGCCCATGGGGTGTGGGGGGGTGGAAGAATGATTTCATTCACCTGTGTGCTCATTCAGGTTATTTCCTGGATATGGCACTGCAGGTCAGCCTGTGGGCTGACACCTTACCCTGCTCTTTTTCTTCTCATCAGCTGGGGTCTTTCAGCCCTTCATACACCCACAGCACCTGCTGTATGCTGGGCTCATGCTAGGGGTTAGGGCTGCAGTAGTGAATAAGATGGTTGAGGTATCAACTCTGGACTGCCAGATAGTGAGAGAGATACACAGTAAATGAGGAAGCAGACAGCGGTGGGGAAGTGGCACAGGGCTGTGGACTTGGCCCTGCACTGCCGTTTGCTAGCAGCATGACTTGGAGTAAGACCCCTGTTGTCTCTGAGCCTGTCTCTTAGGGTTGGTAACAATACATACCTCCGAGGGTGACGATTTAATGAGATTACTTAGCCCAGCACCTGCCAGAGTAGGTGCTCATTAAGTGTAATTCTTACCATTGTAACTACTCTTCCTGTTTCCTCTTCTCTCTCCTCTTCCTCCCCACCCGCCAGGACCTCATTGCTGATTTAAAGTATGAATTGACGGGCAAGTTTGAACGGCTGATTGTGGGCCTGATGAGACCACCTGCCTATTGTGATGCCAAAGAAATTAAAGATGCCATCTCGGTAAGAAGTGGGGGGTGTATGTGTGTGCTGGGGTGGGGATGTGGTTAATGGGAAGATTGTGGGCTCTTCCAAAAGCAACTGGTGAGCCCCATAGCCGCCCAGCAGATGTGAGATGTGTCCTGCTTCACAGACACATCTCAGTTTATTCCAGAGGAGCATCCTGGTCTTCACACAGACAGATGCAGACCGATGTCAGCGTGATGCACACCCCATGAAAGGGGCCCTTGGCGCAGACCCCCTTACCAGGAGCTTGTAGTCCAAGGATGCAGGTTATAGGGACATGAAGACAAATTGTGTCTAACACTCCTGAGGCCAAGGGCACACTAAAGGTAATCAACACGACCCTGGGCCAAGGGTTGTTTAAGAGGGCATCTTAAAGGATAATAGGATCAAGTTAAGCCCCAAATCCCAGAGAGGATTTGGTGGATAGGAGTGTCAAGGTCATTGCAGGGGGTAAAAATGGCAGGAGAAGTTGTGGTCCTGTGTTTAGGGTACGAGGAGTAGCTCAGCCTGGTTGAAGTAGAGGTAGAGAATTGCCCCCTAGAAAGAAGAGAGACAAAGCCCTTCAGGTGTATCTAGCACTTTACAGTCTATAAAGTGCTATGATCTTTGTCTTCTATGAGCTATTAAGCATGAACTGCTATTAAGCATCAGTTATTTTATAAACTGATGAACTTAGCAATGTGAGATTATTATCTTCTCCTCCTCCCTGTGAGTTTGGCAGAGCAACTAGTATCATCTACATTTTACAGATGAGAAAACTGAGGCCCAAAAAGATAGTTTCTGAAGAGAATTCACAAAGCTGGAAGAGGCAGAACTAGAACCTATGTGTTTTTTTTTTTTTTTTTTGAGACAGAGTCTCGCTCTGTAGCCCAGGCTGGAGTGCAGTGGCCGGATCTCAGCTCACTGCAAGCTCCGCCTCCCGGGTTCACGCCATTCTCCGGCCTCAGCCTCCCGAGTAGCTGGGACTACAGGCGCTGCCACCTCGCCCGGCTATTTTTTGTATTTCTTAGTAGAGACGGGGTTTCACCGTGTTAGCCAGGATGGTCTCGATCTCCTGACCTCGTGATCCGCCCATCTCGGCCTCCCGAAGTGCTGGGATTACAGGCTTGAGCCACCGCGCCCGGCCGAACCTATGTGTTTTAGTCCATTCTTACTCATAAGTCCATTCTTGTTGCTATAAAGAAACACCTGAGATTGGGTAATTTATAAAGAAAAGAGGTTGAATTGGCTCATGGTTCTGCAGGCTGAACAGGAAGCATCGTGGCTTCTGCTTCTGGGGAAGCCTCAAGAAGCTTCCAATCTTGGTAGAAGGCAAAGAGGGAGCAGGCATCTCACACGGTGGGAGCAGGAGCAAGTGGGGAGGTGGGGAAGTGCTACATACTTTTAAACAACCAGATCTCACAAGAACTTATGATCGTGAGAACAGCACCAAGGGGATGGTGCTAACTCTTCATGAGAAAGTGCCCCCATGGTCCAATCACCTCCCACCAGGCCCCACTTCCAACATTCAGGTCTACATTTCGACATGAGATTTGGTGAGGATACTCATCCAAATCATATAACCGTGTCTTAGGAGTCTCAGGGCAGCAGTTCCCAATCGGTGCCTAAGAGCTTGAGAGGAGCCTCATGAGTGCTGGGGTGTCATAGCCCTGGCTATGACCTGATCTCAGCCTGTGTCCAGTGGCCTCCCATCCCTGCCCTTAACTCATGCGCTCCTTTTCTTCTCCCAGGGCATTGGCACTGATGAAAAGTGCCTCATTGAGATCTTGGCTTCCCGGACCAATGAGCAGATGCACCAGCTGGTGGCAGCATACAAAGATGGTGAGATGGGCAGGAGGGGCCACTTAGGATCTTCAGATATGAAATGAAGATGATTGCAAGGGTGGAGACACTAAGATTCTAGCCATCTACCTTCTCTCCTCTTTTCTTCTGATCCATTTGTCCACCCATTCATCTATCCAATAAGTACTTGCTTTGTGCTGGGTGATGTGCTAGATTCTCAGGATATGGTGGTGGATAAAACCAAAGGGGTCCCTCTCTCTTAGACCAATGAGATAATGAGATAATGGAGGAGACAGACAATAAACAGGTAAACAGATAAACAGATAAACACAATGATGATGTATTTTAGCTAAGTGTTACGAAGGAAACAAGGTAACAAGAATCAAACTTTTACCAGTGAGGTCTTGGGAGGAAATGAGGAACCAATTATATACAGAATAGAGAGAAGATCTTTCCAACAAAGGGCATGGCAAGTGCCAAGGCCCTGAAATAGAAATGAGCCTGGTAGCTGGTACGAGGCTAGACGGGTAGAAGACAGGGCAGGATCACACAGGGCCTGCAGGCCAGGAGACAGATGGTGTTTTATTCTGAGTCTAATGAGAAGTTGAGGAGTATCATGATCAGTTATGGGTTTTAAGACAGCCACCCTTGTTGCCATGAATTGTAAAGGCATTGAGAATAGGGGAGGAGAGAACCATCAGAAAACTATAGCCACTGTCCAGGTGGGCCATCATGGTACAGGTGGGGGAGAGAGAGTGGACAGATTCCATTTCATCACACCATGGTCAGTACGAAGAGCTGTGAAAATACACCCTGGGTCTTGCCATGATGGTCGCGTAGACTGGGTTTGGGAATTTTTTAAAAATATCTGATCATTTTGGGGGCATCAGGGGCCTTTATCCTGGATCCCTGAGGTCTCTGGGGATGAGACTAGAGCTTGCGTTCCTTTCTGCAGCCTACGAGCGGGACCTGGAGGCTGACATCATCGGCGACACCTCTGGCCACTTCCAGAAGATGCTTGTGGTCCTGCTCCAGGTTGGTTCACAGCCTGTTTTTTTCCTCTGGAGTTTGGGATGGCTTCTGTCTGGCTCACCTGGGTGTAGATCTGAATGTCCAGGGGTCTGGTCAGCTTCCCCTGGTTTGTGCAGGCAGGTGTATTTGGCTAACGTGCTTTCCCTCTGGCACACAGTCCTCTCTTGCCCAGGAGCGTCTTCTGCTGTGACTTTCTTCCTCTCTCCACACTCACTCCTCCCGCTCCTCTCTGGGCCTCCTTCTTGCCGTGGCTTCTGCAGCTGCACATGTCGCATTTCTGGACCCCAGCATTCCTGGGGCTGCTGTGTGGAGTCTCCCACGTCTGAGCTTTATTGTCTCCTCACAGCCCACCCAAAGTATATCACAAAGAGACTATTAGGAGGCTACAAATTGGCGTCTGTGGCTGAATTCAACCTGCCAAGTTGGATTTTTTTTCCCCATGCAATGTGTTTTAAGAAGCAAAGCAAAACAAGTTTGAGTTAGTTGCTAACATTTGGAAATTGTGAGATTTTGCTTAAAAACCAAATTTCTGTATCATTTTGATATATTGAAAGTTGGGGTAGCAGCAGACCTGCATTCTGCATGACTGCAGTGGGCTGGAGATCATATGCCTCCTGCCCGCTTCACCACAAATGTTGTCTACCTGGCCCTCTAGGTATCTCTGTGACCACAGGCACGGTGGGAACAGGCATTGAGATGTCTCAAGCTCAGCTCCAAGGACCAGATGGTTATGAAACTTTGTGTATAAATTAAGCCACCACTATGTTTCCTCTCTCCCCCATTTCCCATTTTATACCAGCTCCTCCCAACTCTGTTCCTCTCATTGCCGTAACAATACCATATTAACCAGTTGGGGAATGATCAGGAGAAACCTCAGGAGTGAGATAGTGTGACCTGTGCCCCATTTTCAAAGTTGCTTCTTCTGGAGAGGAGCGTTGTATCCCTGTATCTTGGAGTCAAGCATTTTGTGTCCTCAAGGTCTGACAGTAAGCAGCAGCGTGGCACACGTTGTAAGCTTGCCAGCCCTGTCTTCTGCTCAGTCCCAAAGAGAACCCAGGGGATTTGAGATCCTAGAATGCACAATCCAGGGCGAAGAAGGGGTGGCTGTAGACCTCTCCAGGCCACCTGCAGACCTCTGCCCATGTAAGAACGAGTTGAGTACTGCTCTCCCCTGTTTCCTTTGTGCATCCTCCTCTATTTGTAAGCCTCCTTATCAGGTGGGGCAAAGGGCTTGGGCAGAACGACAGAAGCACCGTTAGGATTTGGTGACTTTGTAGCTTGTGAGCTCAGATCTTGGGCCCAAATCCTTATTGGTGAATTCTTTAAGTTAGGCATAAGAGCTCCTAATAGAATGCAAATGTTCAGATCCTTTGCCCCTGTGGAATCATTGCTGGAGGAGTGTCATGGGCCATGCCAGGATCTGTGGCAGGGACCCTCGAGAACCTGGGGCCCTGTCCTCAGAGATGTCCTCAGGACAAGGCTCTGCCTACCTCTGGGCTGGGGACACCTGGAAGAACCTCGGTTGTTCTTGGGACCCTCCTGTGTGGACCCAGCCCTGACGATGAAGGGAAAGGCCAGAGGGAGGGACCCTTTCATTGCCTCACAAAATAGATACTGTGGTCTTCATGCAATAGCAGTCACTGCTTCTGGACACACCTGGGCCACCAGGTTTCCCTGCTTTCCCTGTCTCCACCACTGGCATTCAGGCCTCCCTCCTGGCTTGGCTTTGCAGTGTTTGAAACACACATTCTTTGTCTCTCTGCCCAGGGAACCAGGGAGGAGGATGATGTAGTGAGCGAGGATCTGGTACAACAGGATGTCCAGGTAAACAAGCACCGTTGAAAGTCCCTGAGGCACAGCAGAAGAGCCTCGGGAGGGGAGAGGTTGGGGCCCTGGGAAGGGCTGGAGGTGAAGTCCTTTGCATCAAATACCAGAAATAACCCAGCCACAGCTATCATGTATACTGGTGCTTTGTTGAAGAAAAGATATGTTATCTTTCAAAGGTATATTCCGTATGTAATATTGGTGAGATGTACTTTGGAGCTTTCTTTATTCATTCAGTTATTTAATATTATTGAAGTTAAATACGTAGTATGTGCTAGGCACTCTGCCAAGCGTTGGGAAATCACTAACGAACAAAATCAAGTGGTACCGGGAGAGACAGGTATGCATTAATCACACTAACACCTTCTCTATCAATATATTGTACATTGCAGGCATTTTGAGTACCCAGTACATGCCAGCAGCACTACAGGGGCAGATACAGAGAATGCTATGACAGAGTCCCTGTTGTTAAGGAGCTCATACAATAGTGTGGAGATAGACATGTGAAGAAGTCATTATCATATACGGTAGATCAAAGTGATAAAGAAGCAGAAAGCTATGGGAGCCTAGGAGAGGGAGGAAAGGAGGGAAACAGAACTCTGCCTGGGAGCATCGGGAAGTACTTTGAGAAAAAATGGAATACTTAATCTGGGCCTTGAAGGTTGAGTAGGAGTTTCTCCAGAAAGAAAGGAAGAAAGGCATATAGGTATAGTCATATACCATGTAATGACGTTTTGGTTAATGATGGACCACATATATGATGCTAGTCCCAATAGATTATGGACCACATATATGATGCTAGTCCTATAAGATTATAATTCCATGTTTTTACTGTGCCTTTTCTATGATTATGTGTGTCTAGGTACACAAATTCTTGCCATTGTGTTGCAGTTGCCTATGGTATTCGGTAAGGTAACATGCCAAACAAGTGTGCTGACTAGGAGCGATAGGCTATACCATGAATTCTGGGTGTGTAGTAGACTATGCCATCTAGGTGTGTGTACGTGCTCTACGATCCTCACACAATGGCAAAGTCGCCTAACAATGGCAGTTCTCAGAGTGTATCCCTATCATTAAAAGATGCATGACTGTTTTATACGCAGAGGTCCTCAGGCTACCAATTACTGGTGTGTTCAGGGATCAGGCAGCAGTTCTGAGTGGCCTGGTCAGCGTGTCCTGTCTCCTGAGGTTTCCTCTTTCAGTCAAGTGCCACCTCTTCCCCTTTAGGACCTATACGAGGCAGGGGAACTGAAATGGGGAACAGATGAAGCCCAGTTCATTTACATCTTGGGAAATCGCAGCAAGCAGCATCTTCGGTTGGGTAAGCTCCAGAGAAGACCTAAAGCTGCTCCCTTGGGTTTATGCCAAGAATTCCTTTCTTTATCTCGTTTCTTTACCACTGATGGAACATGACAGCTACTTCAGTCCCAATTCAAACTCTACTCCTGAGTTTATTAGGTTGTTGCGAAAGTAATTGTGCTTTTTACCATTACTTTTAAAAATGGCAAAAAGCGCAATTACTTTTGCACCAACCTAATATTAAGACAGTGGTTTGTACAGTCCCTCAGCAGAGTCATTAACAGGATGCTTGGCCTTCCATCTCCAGTGCCAGTCCTGCCTCCGTGTTAGGGGATGAGGTGCAGTCCCTCACCAGCTGTGAAGCTCATCTGCACAACGCTGGTGATGTGCGTGATCTCCCAGTCGCCTCCATCAGAGCACCAGCCCTAGCTTCATGGTGGACAGTCAGGTCCTGGCCACTGCCCCCCCTGCTCTTGAAGTCCTCATTTCTTCTCGGGGTTACAGAGGCACTCTCAAACCTCCCTGTCTCTCTGTCTGACGCAGTGTTCGATGAGTATCTGAAGACCACAGGGAAGCCGATCGAAGCCAGCATCCGAGGGGAGCTGTCTGGGGACTTTGAGAAGCTGATGCTGGCCGTAGGTATGTCCTGACATTGGATTCCTGTGGGTTTTAGGGGATTCTGGAACACTGGCCTAGGAACAAGGAGCTGAGAATGGAAAGGGGAATTACATGGTATAGAATTGGGAAGGAGAAAACCAGGTGGGCCGTGAATTCTAAAAGTTTCTCCAGGGCAGCATGGCTGAGGCTGGGCAAGGGAAAGGGGTTTGAGCCTCAGGTACTGACTTCCTCCAGCTCCCTTCTCCACCATGGCAGGTGACAAAGAGCTCTGAACTTGGGCTGAGGATAATGATGATCATAATAGTTGACTTTCGTGGAGCGTCTGCTGCGTGCCAGGCACTGTGCTGAGTGTGTAATCTTTAAAAAAGACCCAGGAGTGGCCACTGCCATGATCTCTATTTCACAGATGAGGAAACTGAGTCTCACCAAGGCTGATCATTTACTGAGGGGTAGTTTTGTAATGAGTTGAGGGCACTGAGAATGTGAGGATGTGAGGAGCTGGCTAGTCAGTGGTCTAGCCAAGATTCAAACCAGGGCGTCTCCCAAATTGGCTTGGAGCAAGTCACTTCTGCTTACTAGGCCTCAGTTTCCTCATCTATTAAGTGGGGTGGGGGGTGGGCAGGAAGAATGGACTGCCTTAATTGCCTCCCCAGAAGCCCTTGCAATTCCAGCATTCCAGCAGTTAGCATGTCTGAGTCAGGAATATGTTGTGTGTTTGTATTTCTTGGGGGAAATCTGCAGCTCCTTTATTGTCCCTCCCAGAGCCATCCCCTGCCCTCCATGTTTGAAGTAGTCAGCCAGTGGGACTCACAGTGATTCAGTGGGATTCACAATGACTCAGCTGCCAGTACCTTTCTGGTGTAGCAGGTCTAAACAAATGCCTTTTCCTCCTTCACCCCAGACCCTTCCCCCACCCCAGCTCAATTCCCTGTGAAAACCAAAAGGACTAGAAAGATAAAGGGGGTCTGTCTTTGTGATGGACTTTAACAGGATTATTTCAACAAGATTATTTCCTGTTTATTCCCTGGGTTTGCGGTGAAAGTGGGGTGGTCTGGGGCTGTGAGCTATCAGGAACCATGGTTCTTCCTGTATTGAGCTAGGTGGTCCTCAAGGAACAGAAACAAAGAGGGAGTCAGGCCATCCCATCCCCCTTCAGAGGAAGCCGGAATAACTCTACCTCTTCCTCCCTCTTCACAGTGAAATGTATCCGGAGCACCCCGGAATATTTTGCTGAAAGGCTCTTCAAGGCTATGAAGGTGCGTGGTGGGGCTGATGTGAATGAGGTTTGGGGAGAGGATTATTGGCCTCTTTGACAAGTTCTTGGGATCCAGTGGCCAAAGAGAGCCTTTCAGGGATGGCCACAGGGCTGACCCTGGTGAAGGTGCTGCATCCCAGGTGAGCTCTAGGGCCAGGAATGCTGCTGCTCACATACCTCTAGTCCTAACTACTCGAGAGGCTGAGGCAGGAGGATTTCTGGAGCACAGGGCCCGTAGGTTTGAGGCTTCAGTGGACACAGTGTGCTATGTGATCGCACCACTGTACTCCAGCCTGGAAAACAGAGTGAGGCCCTGTCTCTTCAAAAAAAAAAAAAAAGGAATACTTATAACAGTATTGCCTATATTAGGAAAAAGCTAGAAACAACCCAGTGAGTGACCATCAAGAACAGCATGGCAAAAAAAATAAATGCACAGCGGTATATTTGCAAAGTTCCAAAATGTATAAATCTAAGTGTATTGCTTAGAGTTACAAAGCTATGGTAAAATTATAAGGAAAATCAAGTGTGAAAATTATACATGAAGAGAGAAGAAGAGGTTTATAACAGTGAGAGGGCTGGGTGCGGTGGCTCACATGTGTAATCGTAGCATTTTGGAAGGCTAAGGCAGCCCTTGAGGCCAGGAGTTCAAGACCAGCCTGGCCAACATGGCAAGACCCCATCTTTACTAAAAGTACAAAAATTACCTGGACGTAGTGGCAGGTACCTGTACTCCCAGCTGCTAGGGAAGCTGAGGCAGGAGAATTGCTTGAGCCCAAAAGGCAGAGGCTGTAGTGAGCTGGGATCATACCACTGCACTCCAGCCTGGGCAACAGAGTCAGACCCTATCTCAGAAAAAAAAAAAAAAAAAAACAAACAGTGAGAGGAGCATAGACAGAGCTTCAATGATGGGAAAGGCAATGTCTGCTTCTTTTGCTCTAATTTTTAACTTTTTATTATGAAAATAGGATTTTCAACTAAGCTGGGAGCTGTCGGCACTCTAGCTTTCTCAAGTCCATGTTCCCCAAACCCACTTGTCTTGCAGGGCCTGGGGACTCGGGACAACACCCTCATCCGCATCATGGTCTCCCGTAGTGAGCTGGACATGCTTGACATTCGGGAGATCTTCCGGACCAAGTATGAGAAGTCCCTCTACAGCATGATCAAGGTCAGCAGAGCTCATGGGGGCAGAGAAGGGAGCATAGAGCTTTTCGCCAAGACAGAGGACTTAGGGACTATTTCCGGGAAAAGGAAATGTCCCAGGAAGTGGGAGTCTCTTGGACATTCCAGGAGCCCCTGTCTTGTGGCTCATTCAAGGAATTTAAGTATATTCAACAGAAAAGCAACTGTTAGGGGTGTTTGTGAGTGGTAAGGCTACAGACGGAGGCAGGGGCTGGGTCATGAAGGACACACAAGCTGAATTAAGGGCGAGGACTCTGCCCCAAGGGCAGTGAGAGTTCACAGTCTCCTGGAGGAAGGCTGGGAAACACCGAAGGACACAGATGAGGGTTAATGGGGAACCTTTGGCCTGGGCCGGGTGATTGGTGATGATCCTGGGACATCCAGCCCCTGAGGCTTTATCAGGAGACATATGTAAAGTTAGAGAAGTTTTCCCTTTTTTTTTGGATGACTGAAATAAAGCTTTATGGGGTGACAGAGAAAGAGATCCAAGTTGTGTTCTCCAAAGTATGTTTCCAAAGGGTAATTTTTTGGGGTATTATGTGCAAAATGTTCTATGGAAAAAATAAGTTCATAACAAACCAGAATAAGCAAAGATAAATAAGCCAGTTTCTTTACCTCAGAGCGAGCTTCTCACAGCCTTTCATGTTTTGAAGTCCATTATGAAGCCCCAAGAGGGATATGGAATATGCATCTCTATGGATATGTGCATCTGTGTAATATACATATTTGTTTAATTTTTTGCATTTCCCAATGTTTTTGCTCATGGAACCCCATTCCCATGCATATTTCACGTGGAAGGGCTGGGCTGGGGACTGTCTGGTGGCACTGCTGTGCTGGGGCACTGGCTTGAAAGGGCAGCTAGCGTCTCCTCTCAACTCCGCATATTGGTAGTGAAGTCATATTGGTAACTTGAAATTGTCCATTGCTAGAAGTATTTACACCACAGAAATTGGCAAATGCTATAAATTAGGGCTTCCCCCAACCTCCCGCTAAGAACCGGTTATTCAATATTAACCAGCACAGGAGGGCCAGGGCTGCTATGAATAAGTGTTCATTCAGCCTTCCCCTCTTTTAGGCTGTGCAGAACCTTCACGTCCTTGCCTGAGAGGAGCCTAGGGCTGGGTGAGAGGTAACCTTTCTTTCTCTCTCTCCAGAATGACACCTCTGGCGAGTACAAGAAGTCTCTACTGAAGCTGTGTGGGGGAGATGATGAGTAAGTGGCTTCTTGGCCCCCGGCTGGAGGGCATGGCCTTGGGGTGGCAGGCAGGGACTCTCCTGGCTCGCATCCTGATGGGTGAATTGGATGAGCTGGGGATTCCCTTGAGCCAGGAGCGTTGCAAAAGTGAAAGGCAGCCTTTGCTGGTACCTTTTGTGCTTGTGGATCTGTGTGTCTGAGCGTGTGGTGGTCTGAACGTGAGCGTGGTCTCCTGTATATGGAGATGTCTGCTCTTGTGAATCTGGAAAGTCAGTCTGGGGTTGTGGACCAGGAACCAGATAATGAGCGTCCAAGCCCTGCTATTTCATAGCCGTTTTTCGGTTTCATCACCTGTTAAATGGGAAAAGGAAACATTCCTGCTCTGCATATTCATTTATGCAGCATATGTGTGTTAAGTGCCTTCTGGGTGCAGACCCTGTGAGGAAGCCCCTGATGAAGGCCATAGCCCAGAAGGGGATACAGACCAGTTTCCAGAAGGGAGCAGTCCTGTGCTGGGGAGAACTGGCGGTGCCATGTAGAAAGCGTATATAAAAGCACACAGAGATGCCCTAGCCCAGACCAAGGGGAGGCTCTTTGGAGATACACGGTGACACCCAAGGAGGAAGGGGAAGAGCCAGGTGAAGAGAGGGTCTGGGGACAGTGTTTGGGTGGAGGACATCACCTATAGAAAAGCCTAGGAGTGAGAAGGAGCAGCCTGATTCTTTCATATGTCCCAGGTCACGCATTTATGGAGTACTAGGGAGAGAAATAAGGCAGAGAAGTGGGAGGACCTGGGGGCCTCTTCCCAGAGTATTAAATTGGGGCATTACTTGACCAAATTTGTGTGCTGGAAAGGGAACAGGAGGCACTCTGATTTCCTTTCTCTGGGACTTAAAAAGATCCAATTACGGAAGGGATGCAAGAATTTCCCGTGAACCTTTGGTAAGGACCATAGAGATTGATGCAGTTCAGCAGATATTACTGAGTTGATACATCCAGGCACTTTGCAGGAGGAGATGTAGGGCTTGCATGGCCATAGCTGCTCATTGGCCTGTTTGAGAGGGGAGAGTTGGATAGAAGACACTCAAATTCTAAGGAAGAAAGGGGAGGCTGAAAGATTGGAAAAATCCTATCCTGCTTGGACCCTGCAGCAAGAAAGGCTGCCCTTAAAAGCCAGCATTGGTCGGGCGCAGTGGCACACGCCTGTAATCCCAACACTTTGAGAGGCTGAGGCGGGAGGATCACCTGAGGTCAGGAGTTCAAGACCAGCCTCGCCAACATGGTGAAACCCCGTCTCTACTAAAAATACAAGAATTAGCCAGGCGTGTGGCCTGTAATCCCAGCTACTCAGGAGGCTGAGGCAGGAGAATCGCTTGAACCCGGGGGGCAGAGGTCTCAGTGAGCTGAGATCGCGCCACTGCACTCCAGCCTGGGTGACAAGAGCGAAACTCCATCTCAAAAAAAGAGGCAGCATTGCAGGGGGTGTCGAGAGATGGAAGGTTCTCAGAAATAGAGGGAGGACCCTGGTGAATGGAGGAGGCATAGGCTGGAGAGAAAGAAAGCTTAACGTGTGTGTGGTGCGTGCACGTGTGTGTATGTGTTGGGGTGTGTGTGTGTGTGTGTGTGTGTGTTGTGTGGAGCGTTGCCCGTGATGACATTCCTTCCTGTCCTCTCCCTAAACCCTCCATTCCAGTGCTGCTGGCCAGTTCTTCCCGGAGGCAGCGCAGGTGGCCTATCAGATGTGGGAACTTAGTGCAGTGGCCCGAGTAGAGGTCAGACCTTCCCCTCCTCCTGCTTGACCTCTTGACCACAGCTTTTCTGCTTGCGCCTTCCTGCTGCTCTGGTTGGCACCCAGCTGCCCCCTGGCGGCCAACCCGACACGTTAATTCTCACATCTGAAGCTTCCTTTTCTCCCTTGGAGGGATGAATCGGTGGAGGGGTGCACCTGGTTTCTGCATTAGCTTCTGACACGCTGGAAAGGGTTCTGGCCCACTTACTAACGAGGCTTGCTGGAATGGAGACCTGGCTGGTTCCATGGAGGGGCCTGTCCTGCCCAGGGTCCAAAGAGTTGGCCTCAGAGACACGAAAGCTGAGAACAGATGGGCGTCCCTGGGTGCACTGGAGGATTTCAGGTTGTCCTCCTGAGCATCCTCAGACTGGGGGTCCACAAAGGACAGGAATGGGAGGTTTCACTAAAGTACTTTAGGCAAACCATTCCAGAGACTGCAACGCTTGGCCCACACAAAAATGTACAGGACCTTGGAGCTCTCTGTTACTTACTCACTATGCGACCTTTGGAAGATGCCCCCTCCCTCTGGGCCTCTATGTCTCCATCTTTAAAGTGAGGGGTTAACATGGCAATCTCGGTGATCTCTTAGGGCTCTTGGGCTCTGATGTTCTAGGACAGCGTTCCCCAAATAAGTCAAGAGATCTTTGCAGATGATCATAGGTGATGTGAGAAGTGAATTTAGTTTGGCAGGGTTGAATAACGCAGAACTCCACATAGTGAATGAGAAAGGCACTCCTTTTCAATTTCATCAGCGTTTCTGATTATGTCAAAGAGGAAGTCTTGGTTTGGTGCCACCATCTCTGCAACACTTGCTGATTTTCCCATTTCACAAAGAGAAAGCTGAGAGAGCTCGCTTTAAGTTTCGGAGCTTCTAGCAAGCAGAGGCATCATGTTCAATTTCATGGTATTTCACCTCTTTTGTTTTTATTACATTGATTTTTGTGGTAAATTTCAGTTTATGATACATGGTATCAACTTCCTAATTCATGGTAGTAATATGAAAGTAATTTCATCCTTTTTTTTTTTTTTTTTTGAGATACAGTCTCACTCTGTTACCCAGGCTGGAGTACAGGGGCACGATCATGGCTCACTGCAGCCTCCCCAGGCTCAGGTGATCGTTCCATCTTAGCCTCCCAAGTAGCTGGGACCTCAGGTGGACACCACCACACCTGGCTAATTTTTGTAGAGACAGGGTTTCACCATGTTGCCCAGGCTGGTCTTGAAGTCATGGGCTCAAGCAATTCTCCTGCCTTGGCCTCCCAAAGTGCTGAGATTACAGACATGGGCCATTGTGCCAAGCCTCATTAATTCACTTAACAATTATTTTTTAAGTGTGCCTATTATATGTCAGACACTGTTGTAGGCACCTGGGATATATAACAGGATAAAACGGATACAATTCCTTGCCCTTTGGGAGTAATTTTAAATGCACTTCAAAAATGGATGTATTTAAGTCAGAAAAGAAGTTGAATTACATAAAACCATTAAGAGATGGCATAGTGTGTGTGCTGATTTGGAAAAGTGAAAGTCCTTCAGGAGTGACTGAAATTTGGGAAACTCTGTTCTGGTATTTCAGAACATTTCTGCTGCCTTTTCAGGGGGAATGACTCTTTAAGGGGCAGAGGGGGTCTCGGGGGCAGGGTAGGATTCAGAAGAATTGGGGAGGCTCCGGTGGAATAAGTAGCCAAGGGGCACTAGAACCAAGGCAGATCCTGTGGCAGGCAGGAGCCTAGCCAATTTCCCTTGACCAGGACTTGCCCTGCTCCCAGCCCTGAGTCCCTCTCTCCCTCTCTCTATCTTTCTGTCTCTTTCTCTCTCTCTCTCTCTGTCTCTCAGCTCTTGTGCAGGGTCTGTCTGCTGTGGCTTCACCTCTGCCTCTTTCCCCACCCACGCCGCTTGGTTTGGGCTCGTGAGGAGAGCTTCCCACCCTTGCATGCTGCCTCTCAGCCTGGCCCCCAGGGGGGCCTTCAGACACCTGCTGAGTCTCTTTCTGCTTCTCACAGCTGAAGGGAACTGTGCGCCCAGCCAATGACTTCAACCCTGATGCAGATGCCAAAGCGCTGCGGAAAGCCATGAAGGGACTCGGTACGGGGGATGGGAAGGGAGCAGGGTTGGTCTTGGGTCAGCAGGTTTGGTGGGTTCGGCCATGGGCTGGCAGAGGACAGAGTGAGGTTTCAAATTAGAGTCTGCAGGATGAGGAAGACTTGATCTCAAGTTTCCACCCTCCTGGCTTCTGGAGTATAAGGAGGAGGGGCAGGAGAGGGTTCATAAGGAACTTGACAGAAGCCCTTCCCAGGGACCAAGGTGTCCCCCAGCCTCCTGGGAGCAGTATTCTGGCACTGAAGAAAGTACCAGGTCATAGAATTGGTGCGGTGCCCCGGCTCTGCTGCCGACTCACCATGTGACTCTGGGTGAGCCTCTCAGCCACTCTGGGTCTGAATTTCCCCACGTGTAAAATAGGACTGTGGACCCTGGAACCCCAGAGCCCCAGTTCTATGGTGGGAGTGTGCCCTGCTGGGCAGGTCTTTCAGACCTACATTTGGCACCAGTGGGAGGAGTACTGCACCCACAGGTTCAGATCAGCTGGGCCTGTGCTCAGAAAGTCCAGCCTGGGACTGGCCATGTAGGGTTTGGCTTTCTTTGCCTTTTCTGCCCTGTCTGTCTGACAGCAACTCCCAGGAGGCTTTAGGTTAAGTCCATCACCTCCTGGGCTTCCTTTCCACGTGTCTCATGGGAATGATGATATCTGCCAAGCTCGCCTGGGACTGTAGGATGATAGAAGTAAAAATGCCGTGAAGGACCCCCATGCTGGGTCTGCGGTTGATGGCATTAATCTGAGAAGCAGGAAGTGGTATCCTAATGCCTTCCAGAGTCAACCTGCTGTGGTTAGAGGGACTCAGGGTCCAGCTCCCAGAGAGTTGAAGAGAAAGGACATAGAGTCGCTAATAGGACTTGGACTGTCAGGGTTGGAAGGATCCGTTGGTAACGACTCCAGCCTCTTCAGGTTACAGATGTGGAAACCAAGTCCCATCAAGGGAAGGGGACTTGCCCAGGGTGGGTAGCCATTGCCAGAGCCAGACCTAGAACTCAGAGGCCCTGACTCCCAACCCAGTACTCTCTACCTCCCAGCTGTCCTTGTTCCTTAGCGTGTCAACAGGAAAGGGAGGGAGGAGCCCAGCAGAAATCAGTGACCTGAGCCATAGGCAAGCAGACTGCAGGGACTCAGAAGCACATGGCCGCCTAGCCAGGCTTCTACCCTGACAAAGATTGACGAGGGACCATCAGCGGGCAGTGTATGGGGAAAGCCGAGAGCCACGGGCCTTCTTCTGAGGCATGTGGCTTTGGTGACTCAGGGACTGACGAAGATACAATCATCGATATCATCACACACCGCAGCAATGCCCAGCGGCAGCAGATCCGGCAGACCTTCAAGTCTCACTTTGGCCGGGTAAGGACCTCCTCCTGGGCTCTGGGTGCGACATGCATGCACCTTGCCTCACTGAGCTCGGCCTGTCCCCATCAGTTCTGCACAGTTGGGCACCAGGGTCTTCATGGCAGTGGGACCCTGTGTGGTCACGTGATCTCAGAGTGTCTCCAGCACTGGGTTTGGGCAGACGTATCTTTCCATTCCCCCAGTTCCTTGTGATGGGCAACACGTGTGTGAGACGCTCAGTGGTCTCAGAGGTGCAGCATGGGGCCAAGATCAGGGCTATGAGTTGTTTTCAATGTGCTTTGGGCGTCTTGCAGTTCCTCTGCACAGAGAGAGCTGGCTTCAAGGCCTCAACTGAGTGTCAGTGATTATTGCACATTGGTGGCATCTGGCTTAGGTGGGTGCGTTTCCCCCTGGATGGAAACAGTGTCCTTCAGCAGTGCTCCCTTCCTGTTCCTGTCTCCTGTGTCAAGGAGAGTGGGTCTTCCTCCTGGTTGTTTTTTCCCTACCCTCTTTGGCTTCATCTAAATAATAAGTGCAACATCAGCAAAGACAGACACAAGCCTCCACGATCCCTCATGTGGAACCCCTGTTTTCTCTCTCCATCTCCCCCATCCTGGGTCATGTGTGGGCAAGTGTTGATGTTGGCATGACTGGGGCTCTGCCCTTCGCAGGACTTAATGAGTGACCTGAAGTCTGAGATCTCTGGAGACCTGGCAAGGCTGATTCTGGGGCTCATGATGCCACCGGCCCATTACGATGCCAAGCAGTTGAAGAAGGCCATGGAGGTACAGTTGGCACCGGAGGGTCTAGTGTCTGCGGGTGCCAGTGGGGATACAGGTGGTCCTCAGAAGCCCAGGTGGATTAGCCATAACTTCTTGGTAGAACTCCTCCCACACTCAGTTCAAACTGGCATAAACACAGAAGGAGATGTTGGCTCCTATAACTGAAAACTACAGGACTAGATCTGAGTCCAGAGACTCAAATGATGTTCTGTGGACCCTTGGCTCACCCCTGTCTCGGATCTGCTGTCCTCTCTTACGGCTTCACTCTCAGGCAGCCTTTCTCCCCATGGTGGCAGGGTGGCTTATGTCCGTCCTGCCAGCTAGCAGCTCCAGCAGAAAGAGTTCCTTCTTCCTAGGAGTTCCAACAACAGTCTTGGCATTTACTCCAAGTTGATTCAACTTGAGTCACACGCCCACTGGTGTCAGAAGAGTCTCGTGGAGCCGCTGGAGGAAGTGGGGTGGGTCTCAAAGGAAAGCAGCAGCAGTTGGAGTCTGTACTCCAGCCCAGCCCTGCCACTCATTCATTGTGTGACTGGGCCATTCCTTACATTTCCCAATCCTCTGTGCCTTCATCTGGGAAATGGAAATGGTCACCTCTGCCCTTCAAACTAGGACAGGTCAATCAAAGTCACAGGTATGAAGGGCATTGTTAACTCTGAAGACCTGACCCTACATTAAACAAGAAAGCATTATGTCCTGGCCCAGAAGTTGCTAGAACTGCTTTGCTTCCCAAGGTACCAGCTGTACTAGTGGATACTGTTTATAAGGAGCATATGGTAAGTATCCCAGGCTCAGTACATTAGTTCAATTAGTTGCCTCCTCGAGCCACAAGGCGAGGCTCTTATTTTGTCCCCATTTTACAGATGAGGAAACTGAGACTTGGAGGTTAGGTTGCTTGGTCACGGTCATAGAGCTATGAAGTAGCAAAGCTGAGGTTCAGACCAGTCTGTCTGACTCTAGAGCCTGTCTTGACAACCACATAAAACCAGTAGTGCTTTTGGCCCCTTGAGCATTAAGAGGAAGGCAGCAATGGGGAGCTAGAGGACTTTATAAAAACGTTGCCTAGGCTGAGCAGATTAAGGTGATTGTTTTTTAAAATACCTAAGCCAAAAAGCAAATGATCTAAAGACATGGGGTTCAGAAATAGAAGAGATCAATGAGCTAACCCAACTCAATCCTTTCCATTTCCAAAGTTTCCAAGTGGGAAACAGAGGCTCAGAGAGTCAGTGAGTTAGGGGGAGACCAGGGCTAGACCCTAGTCTCAGGACTTTCTTGATTGCCTCACTACACACCTGCTTCTAACAAAGAAATGATTGAAGATCTCAATCAGGATGAGTCTCCTAGGATCTGAGAAGGCAGGACCATTAGTAACCTCTTTGAGGACAGAGAACATGTCTTGCCTCTTGCCCTTTTTTTTTTTTTTTTTTTTTTTTTTTTTGAGATGGAGTCTCGCTCTTTCACCCAGGCTGGAGTGTAATGGTGTGATCTCGGCTCACTGCAACCTCTGCCTCCCAGGTTCAAGTGATTCTCCTGCCCTCAGCCTCCTGAGTAGTTGTGATTACAGGCGCCTGCCACCATGCCCAGCTAATTTTTTTGTCTTTCTAGTAGAGAAGGGGTTTCACCATGTTTGCCAGGATGGTCTTGAACTCCTGACTTCAGGTGATCTACCCGCCTCAGCTTCCCAAAGCGCTGGGATTACAGGCGTTAGCCACCATGCCTGGACTTTTTTTTTTTCCTTTTTGGTAGCTGTAGCCCCAGCACCTTGCACAGTGGCTAACACATAATAGGTGCCTTAACAGGTATTTGAATGAGTGAATTAGTCATTGACTCAATCAATCAATCAATCTTGCCTGCCTTCTCTCCCTGATAGTTTTTCCCACTTCCCTGTATGCAGATATTTGCATAACAGGTCCCCAGCCTGCCGTAGTCCAGGGCGTGTAGTGTCTCAATTCACAAATCACTCCTCAAATACAAGAATAAACATGTAAGCCAGCCATGGTGGCTCACGCCTGTATTCTTAAAACTTTGGGCTTGAGTCCAGAAGTTCCAGACCAGCCTGGGCAATATGGTGAAGCCCTGCCTCTGCAAAAAATATAAAAATGAGCCAAGCATGGTGGCATGCTTCTGTGGCCCCAGCTACTTGGGAGGCTGAAGTAGGAGGATCACCTGAGTCTGGGAGGTTGAGGCTGCAGTAATCATGCCACTGCACTCCAGCCTGGGCAACAGAGCAAGACTCTGTCTCAAAAGAAAAAATAATGTAGCATTTTATCTTAAGCACAAAACTTTTTTTCTTCTAACAAAATAATACATGTCCACTGTGAAGACTTGAAGAAATATAGAGTAAAAAAGAAGAAAATAGCAATCGTCTGTGATCCTTCACTCAAGCAGAGAGCACACCACTAGTTAACACCGTGAGCATGTGCGTGTCCTTCTGTTCTCTTCAGATACTAACATGTGGATATTTCCATTCAGATGTTCATGTGTGTATGTGGTGTTATACACACACGGCTATATACCTTTTCTTTTTGGGGGGCTGGAAGGCAAAGCAGTTCCCTTGGGAGGTTCTGGGAATCTTGAGAGGCTGGCACAGTCAGCCTTGGTTGTGCCACGGTCTCGGGCCTGGGGGCCATGTCTGGAGGTGAGGAGAAAATCCAGGAAGGCCTGGCCTGAGCTTTAGCCATCCGGGCCCCATGGACCTCTGCACAGGTGGTCAGAACTATGGCTGAGATCATCTTTGTCTTGACATTCCAGGGAGCCGGCACAGATGAAAAGGCTCTTATTGAAATCCTGGCCACTCGGACCAATGCCGAAATTCGGGCCATCAATGAGGCCTATAAGGAGGGTGAGTTTGGGAGGCCTGGCCCAGATGCTGGGAGAAGAGCCAGGCCCCCCAGCTTCCAACCCCAGCTCTGCCCAGGACTCTGGCCTGTCTCCTTTCCTTCAGTCCTTGAGGATTTGATAAGCCCCTTGGGTGTGCCCATTCCTGTGTCTAGGGAAAGACAGGTGTCCTGGAAGGACAAAGGCCTGGAGGTATAAGAAGGCTTGGCTGGAAGTGGGAGGAGAGAACGTTCCAGAGAGGGAGGGCAACTTTAGGGGTGTGTAGTCCATGCAGTTCTACATGGCCCCACAGCCAGAAGGGCCCCACACTTGGTTGCATGCTATGCTCTCACTGTCCAGAAATTCTTAATTTTTAAGCAAGTGGCCCCATATTTTCATTCTGAAGAATCTTGAGTACCGGTCAAAAATGTTTAAATTGGCTAGGTGCAGTGGCTTACACCTGTAATCCCAGCACTTTGGGAGTCTGAGGCAGGTGGATAGCTTGAGCCCAGGAGTTCGAGACCAGCCTGGGCAACATGGCAAAACCCCATCTCTACAAAAAATATAAAAATTGGCTGGGTGCAGTGGCTCACTCCATTAATCCCAGCACTTTGGGAGGCCAGGGTGGGTGTATCACTTGAGGTCAGGAGTTCGAGACCAACTTGGCTAACATGGTGAGACCCAATCTCTACTAAAAATGCAAAAATTAGCCAGGCGTGGTGGCATGCGCCTGTAGCCCCAGCTACTCAGGAGGCTGAGGCAGGAGGATCACTTGAACTTGGGAAGCAGAGGTTGCAGTGAGCCAAGATCACGCCACTGCACTCCAACCTGGGTGACAGAACGAGACTCGGCCTCAAAAAAAAAAAAAGTTAGCTAAGTGTGGCGGCACATGCCTATAGTCCCAGCTACTCAGGAGACTGAGGTGGGAGGATCACCTGAGCCCAAGGAGGTCGAGGCTGTAGTGAGCCTTGATCATACCAACCACACTCCAGCCTGGGTGACAGAGTGAGACCCTGTCTCAAAAAAAAAAGTTTAAATTTTTTATCTTATAAGCAGCTTTAAAATGGTAGAATTTTTGAGTACATGAGTGACATAGTCAGAGCTCTGCTTTTGGGTTTAGCAACTGCCATGCAGGAGGGAAGATGGAAGAGAGAATGACAACAGGGAGGTGACTTAAGAGGCTGTTAAATATTAAAGGCGAGATGCAATGGGACCTCAAGTGGCACAGCGCCGAGGGGATAGAGGGGAGGTGATGGGTTGATGAGAATGCCCATTGTCTTACAAAATCAGCAGGAGGATGGCTGGATGCCCCCCTGAGCCAGTTACAAACCCTTTCATTCCCACCTCCCCCTGCCAATACTGCCCTAGCTCAAGCCTGAGTTTCCTGGACCTCCCTCCCCACAACGAAATCCTTCTTGGCCAGCAGCTACCCACACCTCCTTTCTCTGTCTCAGACTATCACAAGTCCCTGGAGGATGCTCTGAGCTCAGACACATCCGGCCACTTCAGGAGGATCCTCATTTCTCTGGCCACGGTGAGTGAATTCATGGGCCTCAGGTCTGCTTGCCCATCTGGAGGCCTGGGAGGAAGGGAAGGTTCACTGAGTGGAGGGTACAGGGGAGTTAGAAGGAGTTGATGGAGAGGGAGTGTCTCCCCACTTGCCTCCTTAGAGTCCCACCACCTACCCCTGGTGTTGACTTGTCAGAGCTGGCGTGGTGCCACCTTCTCCAGACAGTCCTCCCTGGTGGCCCTTGGCCTGGGTTTTTGGGCCCCCAGCTCACACAACAAAGCCATGTGGGTGACCCTCTCCTGTGTTGTTACCTGGGAGCTTCTGTCACTATCTCTTGAATTCCCGTAACAAAAATGGCAGGCCCTCATTGATGGTTACTGAGAGCTTCCTGTGTGTCGGGCATTGGTGCTGAGCGCCTTGCACACATTCTCAGTTAATGACCACAACAGCCTACTTATGGAGGCAGGATTTTCATCCCTGTGTAACTGATGAGGAAGAGCATTCAGAGAGGTGGAAATGAGCAGGGTGTGTGGTGGTGCAGAGATGGAGATGGGTCGATGCTTGGGGACTGACCTTTCTTGCTGCTTCTGCTGCAGGGGAATCGTGAGGAGGGAGGAGAAAACCTGGACCAGGCACGGGAAGATGCCCAGGTAAGACCCCCAGCCCACCCCAGTCACCTCTGCTGGGTGTCCCTGAGAAGTAGGTCCAGCTCACGCGTGTCTACGCCAGGCCCTGTCTGCAAGTGAAGGCTCCTGGCAGGGGCGTGGTTGGTTTGATTGGCTGATACTTAGACTGCAGAAATGAGGTTTAGGAGTGTGGTGCTGGTATTACTGACATTTCCTAGGGGAATAGCAGGACCTTCAGAGCTGGCAGGGACCTGCAGATCACCCAGGTCAAAGCCCTGATGTTACAGTGGGAAAATGGAGGTCCAGAAAGGACAAATGACTTCTGAAAGTCACACAACAAGTCAGTGGCCCCAGTAGAATTGACCCCTAGAGAGCTGGTCTGGGAACTTGCTGAGAAGGGGGCTAACGGTCTTGGTTTATTATCTGTAAAATGGGACTGAGATTGGAGGGAGTGTCCTGGGACAAGCCTAGAAAGTAAGTTCCTCAAGGGCTGGACTCTTCATTTTGTTCACTAATATATCCAAAGTAACACATGATCAGTACTCAATAAATATTTGTTGAATGAATAGCAGGGAAAAGGGTTCTCTAGGAGTCTCTTGCCTAGTGAGCTTGAGGTTTGGAAATGGCTTCTTACGGAAGTTGGACAACCCCAAATTCATTTTCCCTGAGGGTTCCTGTGGCTGGGCAGTCCCTACTGAGGCCAGTGCATTGTCCCCCACTGACCTGCACCTTGATCCCAGCACCCAGTAGCTTGACCCAGGTCCATGTCTCCATCTCTTCTGCCTGCCTCATCCTCCCACCCCCAAAAGCTGTGTCCAGAGATGTGGGGGAACAGATACCACAGACTGTGAATCCAGCCCCCATATTTTATAGTTGGTGAGTTAAAAAGAGCACTGATGGATTGAGAGGGAACCAACTTTTCTGTTCCCAGGTCCCATAACAGAAGTGTGGTATATTACAACAGCATCTGAGCTGGAACCTGACAGTTACAGAACTGTAATGATAATTATTAGAATGCATACTACGATGCCAAGATTATTCTATATGTTTTTATGTTCCCCCTTTTTACTAGAGGAAAATGAAGCTCCTTAACCTATTGAAGGATACAGTTTCTAAGTGGTGGTGGTTTGATCTGAACTCAGGCTTGCCTGACTCCAGAGTCTATGCTTAATTCCATTTACAGTAATATCCTCCAAGACCCAGTACAGTTAAGGTCTCCTGCAGCTTCCACATCAAGTAGCTGTTGTTGTCCAGTTGTCCAACCCTTGCTTTGGAATATGGTTGTCAAAAGCTGCAGGGTTACATTTAAATGTATGGTATTTCAGCTACATTGTGGGCACATGGATGGGGGCTAGGCTGAGAACCCAGCCAGATACTAGGGGGGCTTGCTGAGACCACATTTCATTCACTCATTCAACGGATGTTTATTAAGTATTACTGTGAACAGCCTTGTGTGCTGCTGAGAGTTTTTTTTTTTAAATCTCAGCTCTCACCCCAAATCTGTCCTCCAACCCTAAATTGATCTTCCGGGGAATGTTTCTGCCTGTGCCTGGTTTGCCAATGAGGCTGTGCTTCCAATTGCCGCTAGCAGGGGGCAGTGGTGGGCCTTGCTGATAGCTGCTTCGCAAAAGGAGAGAAGTGGAGAGAGAGAACCCGGGTGGAAATAGCTAAGGGACCCTTGAGCCAGATCCCTGCCCAACTCGGCTACTTCTCCAGATTTAGGATGCTAGACCCCAGCTCATTTTCTTATAACTAGCAGTACATTCTTTTATAGACACTAGAAAATAAAGAGAAGCCAAAAAAGACTCCATAACCTAATAGTAATAACCATTGTCAGTATTGTAGTATACATTATTGTAGTTGTTTCTCTATGTATATATAAAAGTGGATTCTTGGCCGGGCGCGGTGGCTCAAGCCTGTAATCCCAGCACTTTGGGAGGCCGAGGCAGGCGGATCACGAGGTCAGGAGATCGAGACCATCCTGGCTAACACAGTGAAACCCCGTCTCTACTAAAAAATACAAAAAACTAGCCAGGCGAGGTGGCAGGCACCTGTAGTCCCAGCTACTCCGGAGGCTGAGGCAGGAGAATGGCGTGAACCCGGGAGGTGGAGCTTGCAGTGAGCTGAGATCTGGCCACTGCACTCCAGCCCTGGCCACAGAGCGAGACTCCGTCTCAAAAAAAAAAAAAGAAAAGTGGATTCTTTATTTCTGACAGTTAAAAATTAATACTATGTGAATATTGTTGCGCTTTTTAATCAACAATATCATTTAATGGCTGTATACTGTTCGTATCTGAATCTATCATGTTATTTAACCAGGCTTCTTCCTAGTAGCAAACTCTTTTATCACATTCATGAATTATTCCTTAGAATGAATTTCCAGAGATGAAATGGAAACGGGGGAGCAAAATGTGTATAAAAATTAAGGGCATTTGATAGAGCTGAGTCAAGCTCCTCCTTAGATAATGCACATGAGTACTTGGCAGTTTGTATTTGCCTGTTTTATACTCCCTGGCGGTCTCTCACTCTGGATGTCTAGAACACCCTCAAGCTCTTAGAAGTCTGGGTCTGTTATTAACCAGTTGAACATATGTCCAGTTTCTACCTGTGGCCCCACAGTAATTGTTAATAGCTTCCCCTTTCACTCTGTCATCCAATTTGAGCAATAAATTATAGATAACTAATTATTATAGACCCACCATGAAATGAAGGATTGTGGTCATTTTTAGATAATCAATACTCAGACCTTTTTTTTTTTTTTCTTTTTTCTTTTCATTTTCATTTTTTTTAGATGGAGTCTTGCTCTGTCACCCAGGCTGGAGTGCAGTGGTGCAATCTCAGCTCACTGCAACCTCTGCCTCCTGGGTTCAAGCAATTCTCCTGCCTCAGCCTCCTGAGTAGCTGGGATTATAGGCGCCCACCACCATGCCCAGCTAATTTTTCTGTATTTTTAGTAAAGACGGGGTTTCACCATATTGGCCAGGCTGGTCTCGAACTCCTGACTTCAAGTGATCCACCCGCCTCAGCCTCCCAAAGTGCTAGGATTACAGGTGTGAGCCACCATGCTCGGACCAGACTTTTAAAAATATAACAGCTTTCTTGAAATAGAATTAATCTACCATATTATTGACCAGCTTTATTGAAATAGAATTCACCTACCATACTATTGACCAGCTTTATTGAAATAGAATTCATCTACCATACTATTGACCAGCTTTACTGAAATAGAATTCATCTACCGTACTATTGACCCATTTAAAATATTGAAATAGAATTCATCTACAATACTATTGACCCATTTAAAGTGTACAATTCAGTGGTTTTTAGTATCTTCACAGACTTAATGCAACCATCACCACAATCAATTTTAGAACATTTCATCACCCCCAAAAGAAACTCCATACACATTAGCTGTCACTCCTTATGTCCTCCTAACCCCCCAGCCCTAAGCAACTGCTAATCTACTTTCTGTGTCTCCAGATGTGCCTCTTCTGAACATCTCATGTAAATACAGTGATATAATACGTGGCCTTTTGGACTGGCTTCTTCACTTAAGAAAACACTAATTTAAACACTGTGTTAAACACTTAACAGTGTTTTCAAGGGTCACCCATGTTGTAGCATGTTGGGACTCCCTTTTCATTGCCAAATAATATTCCATTATCCATTCATCAGCTGTTGGACATTTGGGTTATTTCCACCTTTTGGCTATTATGACTAATGCTGCTCTAAACATTTGTGTACAAGTTTGTGTACCAGTTTTTGTGTGCACATATGTTTTCATTTCTCTTAGATAGAATTTCTGGGTCATATGAGAACTCTAAGTTTAACCATTTGAAGAACTGTCCAGATTAATTTTTGCATGAAGTAGCTAGGCTAATAAGAACAAGCTTTTGTGGTGAATATTAATTTAGTGCCCCACCACTTTTTTTTTTTTTTTTTTTACATTACAGATATTATTATCTTAAAGATGCTTTGAAAAACCTAATATGTCTAGGGTTCTCTGACCTGTGTAAATGAGAAGGATTGGGACTTTTGAGTCTTTTCTGTTAAATCTTTAAAACATGTCCCTGTCCCTCTCTTCTTAAAAATGATACAGTTTTATTTAGCGTAAGTTTTTACAAATTTTTGATAAAATACATATAAACTTTATCATATTAATCATTTTATTTATTTATTTTTGGAGATGGAGTTTTCCTCTTGTTGCCCAGGCTGGAGTGCAATGTTGCAATTTGGCTCACTACAACCTCCGCCTCCCGGGTTCAAGTGATTCTCCTGCCTCACCCTCCTGAGTAGCTGGGATTACAGGCACCCACGACCACGCCCGGCTAATTTTTTTGTAGTTTTAGTAGAGACAGGGTTTCACCATGTTGGCCAGACTGGTCTCAAACTCCTGACCTCAGGTGATCCACCTGCCTCAGCCTCCCAAAGTGCTGGGATTACAGGCATGAGTCATCATGCCTGGCCAATCATTTTAAAGTATACAGTTCAGTGGCATTAAGTACATTCACATGTTGGGCAGCCATCACCACCAGCCATCTCGAAAACTGTTTTCATTGTGCAAAACCAAAACTCTGGACCCATTCAACAGTCACTTCCCATTCTCCCTTCCCCCAGCCCCTGGCAACCACCATTCTTCCTATGTCTGTGAATTTGACTACTCTAGGGACTTCATGTAAGTGGAATTATACAGTATTTATGCTTTTATGACTGGCTTCCTTTACCTAGTATGATGTCCTCGGGGTTCAACTAGGTTTTTGTTTTGTGACGTTTGAGACATAACGGGGTGACAGGTTCTCACACTGTCACACAGGTTGGAGTGCAGAGGTGCAATCTTGGCTCACTGCAACCTCCGCCTTCTAGGCTCAAGCAATCCTCCCACCTCAGCGCCCCAAGTAGCTGGGATTACAGGCGTGCGCCACCATGCTCAGCGAATTTTTTGGTAGAGCAGGGTTTCTCCATGTTGTCCAGGCTGGTCTCAAACTCATAGGCTCAAGTGATCCTCCCACCTGGGCCTCCCAAAGTCCTGGGATAACAGGTGTGAGCTACTGCACCTGGTGTAGGTTGTTTTTAATACAGAAAAATATTTAAAAAACCAGAAACAGCCTATAATCCTAGTAGCCTTGATAACTCTTATTTAAGATTTAAAATGAAATAATATTTTTGCATATTTAAGAAATAAAACTTCAGGAAGAATAAAAAGAAATGCAAAAGCTTTCCTGCATAGTACCTCTCCTCGAAGGTGTCTTGACAGTTTCTTAAGTACTTCCCAGGAAGTATGAGAAAGTGAGTGTTTATTTATTTATTTATTTTTGAATCTAGATGAAAGAAACACTATTTTACACAAAAATATGCTATACTTTACTTCTTCACTTAATTTAAATGGAAACTCTCGTTATCAGCATTGTAGATTAATCTCATCCTTTGTAAGAATTGCATGGATTGTTACCATTGATTGGATAATCCATAGCCTGTTTAACAAGTCAATCTCAGGATGGTTTACAGTTTTTCTCTGTTACGAAAAATGCTGACCGGGCGTGGTGGCTCAAGCCTGTAATCCCAGCACTTTGGGAGGCCGAGGCGGGTGGACCACCTAAGGTCAGGAGTTGGAGATCATCCTGGTCAGCATTGTGAAACCCCATCTCTACTAAAAATACAAAAAAAAATTAACTGGACGTGGTGGCACATGCCTGTAATCCCAGCTACAGGCTGAGGCAGGAGAATCGCTTGAATCTGGGAGGTGGAGGTTGCAGCGAGCCGAGATCGTGCCACTGCACTCCAGTCTGGGCAACAGAGTGAGACGAAAGAGAGAGAGAGAGAGAGAGAGAAAGGGAAAGAATGGAAGGAAGGAGAAGGAAGGAAAGAAAGATGCTGCCATGGGAAGGAAGGAAGGGAGGGAGGGAGGGAGAAAGGGAGGAAGGGGAGAGAAGAGAAGAGAAAGATGCTGCTATGGGCCAGGTGTGGTGTCTCATGCCTATGATCTCCACTTTGGGGGACCAACGCAGGAGGATCGCTTGAGGCTAGACTGGACAACAAAGTGAGACCCCTTCTCTACAAAAAATTAAAAAATTAGCTGGGTGTGGTGGCACACACCTGTAGTCCCAGCTACTCACGAGGCTGAGGCAGGAGAATCACTTGAGCCTAGGAGGTCAAGGTTGCAGTGAGCTGTGATTATGCCACCGTACTCCAGCCTGGGCAATAGAGCAAGCAAGACCCTGTCTCCAAAAAGAAGAAAGAATGCTGCAAGAAGAAAGAATGCTGCAGTGAATAGTCTTGTATTCTATCGTGGAAGACTTTTGCCAGAATATCTGTAGGGCAAATTCCTAGCAATATAATTGCTTGATCAAATGTCATAGGCCTTTTAACTTTTAATGGACATTGCCAATTATGCAATGAAAAGAAGAGGAAGGTTTCCAGAGCATAGGCTGTAGTGAAGTTTATAAAGAGTTCAGTCTATCCAATAGAATAAAGTCAGCAGAGTTTCTGGGGGAAAGGCGAAAGCAATACGCAGCTTGGGTACACGAGCCTGGGTATTTTGTTCCCAGGCTCCCCAAGTCACAGCTATTTGCCTAACAAAATTGTGTCCTAACCACAGAATTCTGCGCTCTGCATAGTGCAGTGATTAAAAGTAACCCTTGTAAAATGACTTTCCCCTCACTGTTTGCTGTGTGCCCCCAGGCAGGTCAGCTCCCCTCAAGGCCTCAGCTGTCTGGTCTTTCTTGTCTTTAACACGAAAGCTAAAATGACATGTCTCTTGCCTTGGAACTCTGAATATGCTAAAGGGTGCGGAGAACTTTGCACTGCTCACATTTACATCTCAGTGGTTCTGTAAGGAAGTGGCAGCGATTATTTCTTTCCACTTTCAGACAAAGAAACCGAGGCCTGGAATCTGCTCTAGGTTTTGGGGTGCGACGAGCAGAGTGTTCCCCGTTTCTGTGTCTTTCTCTTATCCCTCAGGTGGACACGTTTTTAGTTATTGCCAGGCCTTTCCCCATTCTGAGCTCCAGCCCAAAAGGTCATAGGAAGGTATTTTTCTGTTGTCCCTGCCCCACTTCCCATCGCATCCCGGGTTCTCTCCAGTCTCTTGGGACATCTCCCACTCCCAGCCAGGCCCCTCACCCTGCACCCCAGGGCCCCAGCACCAGCCTCCCCGGCCTCCTCTGACTCTTGCCTCCCTTCTCTCCCTCCTCTCTCCCCTCCCTGCTCTCAGGTGGCTGCTGAGATCTTGGTGAGTGTCCTGTTCTTCATTTGGGTTTTAACGGCCTCTGAGTAAAGTCCGCCTTTACTGGGCCAAGCGGGGCAGTATCAAGCAGTGATTTGGGAGCTTGCTGTGCGGCTTCTCTCTCTCCCCTTCGGGGCGCCTTAAGGACCCTGCTTGGTAAAAGATAGGCCAGGCAAGTGTTTCCCAAACTTCAGCTAATCATCTCTGGCATGATTTGTGCTGTGTAACCACCAACTGTTAATACTGATCTTTAAATCGACTCACTTTTAAACCCAAAATGAGTTAAGGGGAATTTAGTATCAGTATAAATAGAACTAGTAGCTGGCTAGAAGACAACCGTGGAAACACTAATATGCAGTGTGATCGGGTATGTTTGCCCTTGACGCCGCTTGGGGAAACACTGGCCAGGCCATCTTCCCTGCATATGACCCCATACACACTTCCCAGAGGGCCTTGCGGAAAGGTTGAGGGATGGAAGGGGAACTCCCAGTTGCTACGCTCAGGGCCTGTGCGGGTCCTCCCAGGAGCCCCGGTCCCATGGCCCCGAGGCTAGGATGGAAGTTCCCAGTGCTAAGCCCATCTGTGTCAGATCACAGGGTCCTTGTGAACTGGAGAGGGGAATGTAGAAGCCATTGTGCTTGAGGAAGGAAGAGGGGACCAGTCTCAGCCCCCTTGGATGGCTGTGTGAGCCCAGCTTCTGATTGCCCTCAGCCCAGGCAAAGACATGAAAGTGAATAATAACCAAGGCTTTCTCATGTCTCCCCTCCCAAATCCTCGCTCCAACCGGGGCTCTGCAGGAAATAGCAGACACACCCAGCGGAGACAAAGCTTCCTTGGAGACACGGTTCATGACGATCCTGTGTACCCGGAGCTATCCGCACCTCCGGAGAGGTGAGGCCTGACCTCCTCCCTTCCCAGCTCAGCAGGAAGAGCCCGGAATCTGATGAGAGCCTCTCATCTCTCTGTGGCAAGAGGAGCCAGTTGCCCACCCACCCCCTCCTTAACCCAGCAGTAGCGTATCATGGGTGACGGTGACTCTGGAGCCCTGGATTCTAGTCCTGGTTCTACCGCTTATACCTCACCTTCCTTCTCCTCCTTAAGGAAGCAGGTGGGATGGCGGGGATTAGGGATAGCAACTGGATTTCACCTCAAAGGCCAACTCTGACAGAGTGGTAGCAGCTGCCTAGAATGCTGGGTTGAGAAGGATTCTGGGACCCCGCGTCATGATTCACTGGCGATGCCTGCCAGGAGCAAGGCAGTGAGAGGTGGTGGCGGCACAAGACCCACATAGATGTCTTTGAACCACAGACTGCCACATGCACAGGGCACACCTGTATGCAGTGACCCTGGTGCTCAGTGATCATGAAGTGTCCTGCACTGAGACATTTACATTTTAATATGCATTTGTCTAGCACTTCGCAGTATTTAAGGTGCTTTAGCATAGTGGCTAAAAGAATGGACTTGGGCACTGGACCGCCTTGATTTGAATACCCACTTAACAGCCATGTGACCTTAGGCAAGTTACCAAATCTCTGCGCCTGAGCTCCCTTACGTAGGAATCAGGGTTTTAGTTCCACCTCACATGACGGTTGTGAAGATACAAAAAACACAACACACATAAAGCACTGGCGCAATGCCTGACTCAGTGAGTGTTTCCTGAGTATTATCGTTGTGTCTTTATCCCAACCGGACATGGGAGGAAGAGGAGGCCCAGAAAGGAGAGGATTCACCCAAGGTCCCTCAGTGAGCTGGGGCAGAACCATGACTAGGACCCATGCTCCTTTTACTACCCCAGCCTGGGTTGCCAGAACTTGGCCGAGGTTCTGAGGCCATTGGCCAGGCACGGGGACTGACTTGGGACAGATTTGGCTCTGAGCTCACAGCAGCCTTGATGTCAGAGCTCCTCTATCAGGATGATCTTGCCCAGTGCATTTAGGCCTGGGCTGTGGCCATATCTGCTGCCCTTCCACTTTCTCAGGCACAGCCTGTGGGAGGCACTGGGTGGGGCTGAGTAGGGGTCCTCCCCCTCCTGCACTGAAGCTCACCCCCACCTCTGGGGCTTCTCTTGTGGCCAGTCTTCCAGGAGTTCATCAAGATGACCAACTATGACGTGGAGCACACCATCAAGAAGGAGATGTCTGGGGATGTCAGGGACGCATTCGTGGCCATTGGTAACTGGCAGGGACTAAGGGAAGGGCTGGGGGCACTGGCAACTTGCCCAGATTCTCTGGAAGAATAGAACCTTGGCAGCCTCCGAAGCTAGTACTGGAAAGTAAACACTGCCACAGTTCACCTCCAGGGGTGCTGCCAAATGTGTGATTGTGCAGGAGTGTCATGAGGTCTGTTCCAGGCTGCAGGAGAAGGTGAGAAAATAGCTGTCGCTGGGGAAGGACCAGGAAGACTGGGGCAGGCAGGGGAGGGGCACGCTGTCCTGCACAACTAGGGTGTGTACACACACACACCATACACACACTTGACACACACACTTAACATGTACAAGACACATACTGTACATACACACATTCTCACATGTGACTTATACATAAAACATGTTACATATGCATGTGACAGGTGCATACCACACATACACACATCACATACACACATACTTCACACACAGAACACATTATACATACACATACATGCTACGCCCCCACAAGACACTACACCTGCACACACACACCACTCACACACTATGCACACATGACCCATGCACACCACATATACACACCACACATGCACACACATACAAGACACATACACGTTAGATGCAGACGACACACACACACACCCTCGTCTCCTCTCAGTACCTGGCTTTTTGGTTACACTTATATAATTTGAGCTCTTGACTTTGAAAAGGTTTTTTCCTTTTGGATCTTAATTTCACCGTGTATAAATATGGATGAGTGGATATGGGTTGGGGCTGAAGTTATTCTCATTAGTATTCATCATTAGTGGTATCTTGTTTCATTTACTGTAAAACGCATTGCATCAATGCACTTTTTAAAAATCTTACCAAGAGGTGTCGGGGGAAGATTTTCACATAATTGCCATCAATTATAAAACACATCTTGATTTCAGAGACACTAAAATGTGGGGGAAAGGTGTGTTAGATTGGGTGAAGTAGAGATGGTGGTAGGGGGTTGTTTAGCATGTGATGGGCCTTTACCACCCAGGACCAATATCTAGGAGGCGGGATAGCCCAGTGGGTAAAAGCATGGACTCCAGGTTGAATCTCTGCTCTGCCACTTCCACACTGTGTATCCTTGGGCAGGTCACGAAACCTCTGTGTCTCAATTTCCTCCTTTGTAAAGTGGAGATAACAATAGTGCCCAGCCCATAGGGTGGATTTTGTAAGGCTGAAATTAGCTAATTATACGTAAGGCACTTGGAACGGTGCCTCTTGGCATGTAATACTCACTGGGCAAGGGTTAGTTTTTATTGTTGTTTCACGCCAAGCCCTGTGCAAAGTTAGTTGCACACAGGTTTAGTTGCATTCTCACCAGGTGCTCTTACCAGCTTATCTTACAAAGAGGACACTGCATTCAGAGAGGTTTGTAGTAGTAGAACCAGGCCTCAAACCACAGGCTGCCTACATCCAAAGCTCATGTTCTGTAGCCTTTGGAGACACTTTGAGATTCCTACCCTCCTCGTGTATTTCCCTCTTTCCTTTCTCCTCCCACCTTGAACAGGTCTACACATGCAAACACACACCACAACACCATTTCACACCCCTCCATCTAGTGTCAGGCATCAGGGTCCCCTGTGACAGATGGACAGGCTCAGTTCTTAGGATGGCTTGTGGGGTTGGTTACAAAGGAGAGAAGTTTCTGCCCAGCGTGCTTCTTAGCCAGACTGATAAAGCCCTAGGTCTGAAGTCAGGGGAGGCTTCCTGGAGGTGGTGTCATGACTGGGGACGTGGACATCAAGTACAGCCTTGCAGGATGGGACTTGATTTAGAGAGAGAGTGTAGTGAAGGGCAGATAGGAAATGCATCTATCCAGGAAGGACAGAGGGACACAGGAATTTGCAGTTCTGGGAATGGAGGAGCAAGGGCCATGAGGTTGCAAAGGAGGCCAGGAGCTTTGACGTTCAAGCCAAGGAGCTTGGGATTTGTTTGGGAGGTAGTAGGGAGATATGTAAGGAGCTGGAGATGGGAGATGTGTGATGTGATCTTTCCCACGGGATTCCTGAGCCTGTGGCAGAGGAGTCTCTTGCTTGACTCTGCCACTGGACTACACAACTCCAGCCTCTTGCCATCTCTTCTCGTTATATCCAGAGTCATTCCAGCTATAGTACTGGTGTCTGGTTTCTCCTTTCTAAGCTGTCTGAGACACGCGTGCGTGGGCTCTGGAGCCTTGCAGTCAAGCAGCTGTGAAGGGCTAGAGAACCCTAGGCCTTGAGAAAGGGCGGGGTTGGTGAAACCAGGCAGGCATTATCTGGGGTCAGGGTAGGGAGCAGCAGCTGCCAATACTGCAAGATTGTTCAGGCCCTGGGGCAACACTCAGCCCCAGGGATTTACATGGTCCCTTAAGTTTTACCAGCGGACAGCCATTCTTTGGAGCAGTATGTCTCTACATCAGTAACTCTCAAGCATTAGGCTGCACCAACGCAGGTTGGCCAGCCATCCTGATTCGCACAAGGCTTTCAGTGCTATTAGGGTGGTGCAAAAGTCATTGCAGTTTTGCCATTGAAAGTGATGGCAAAAATTGGAATTACTTTGGCACCAACCTAACAAAACCTGGAATGTCCCAGGCAAACTAGGACAAGCTGGTCACTCACCTCCAGAGTTTCATATTCAGCATATCTGGCGTGACGCGTGAGAATCTGCCTTCCTTCCAAGTTTTCAAGCGATGCTAATGTTGTTGGTCCGGAAACCACACTTTGAGAACCACTGCTCAAGATCTTTCTAAAATCTGAGTCTTCAGGGTGGATCCTAAACCCTGAGTTTTAAACAAGCTTCTTGGGTGATTCCGACGCATTTAAAAGTTTTGAGGCCCTATGCTTTGGGTTCGTGAGGAGTTAATTACCTTTGAATCCTCTCCTAACCTTGGTTAGCTGTAAGCACCTTAGAAGGAAGAGAGTTGCGACCAAGTGAGAGCCAGGCCTAGGGATGAGCCAGAGGAGGAAGCATGGGGAAGGGGAGCGAAGGTGTTGCCTGAGCATGACCCTGGGGTTGACAATGATCTGCAGACCCATGAAAGGATAGACGAGGTGGGGAGATGGGGGAGGCCAGTCCAGAGTCTGGGTTCACAGCCTCTGACCACATTCCCCGCATCTCTCTGCTCTTCCTACCAGTTCAAAGTGTCAAGAACAAACCTCTCTTCTTTGCCGACAAACTTTACAAATCCATGAAGGTAAGAAAACGTGCTGGCGTTCCTTTCCCTTCAAGCACTGACTTATGTACACACACACAGATGTGCACCGTCCCCCAGATCAGGATTCCTGGCAGCTGTTTCTTCCCATTTGACATTTATCAGCATCTGCCCTTTTCTGGCTGTAGGATGGTATTTCCCCGTTGGGGGTGATTTCCCCCGCCTTCCCCCCCGGAGGATATTTGGCAATATCCAGACACATTTTTGGTCATCACAACTTGGAGGGTGTTGCTATCGGCATCTGGTGGGGAGAGAACAGGGATGCTGGCGGGGAGAGAACAGGGATGCTGGCGGGGAGAGAACAGGGATGCTGGCGGGGAGAGAACAGGGATGCTGGCGGGGAGAGAACAGGGATGCTGGCGGGGAGAGAACAGGGATGCTGGCGGGGAGAGAACAGGGATGCTGGCGGGGAGAGAACAGGGATGCTGGCGGGGAGAGAACAGGGATGCTGGCGGGGAGAGAACAGGGATGCTGGCGGGGAGAGAACAGGGATGCTGGCGGGGAGAGAACAGGGATGCTGGCGGGGAGAGAACAGGGATGCTGGCGGGGAGAGAACAGGGATGCTGTTAAACAGCCTCAGCGCACAGGATTAGCTTGCGCAACAAAGAATGATCCAGCCCCAAATGCCAAAGTTGAGAAATGTGCTCTGGTTGCACAGGGCTGGGTAGGACACAGTCTCTGCCCTCTCAGAGCTCACAGCCTATCAGGTGACACAGGATCTCCTATGACAAATAGTCATTAGAGGTCACAGGCGCTCCCCTCTGAGTCTAGGCCTGCCCTTCCGGGAGAGCCCAAGCCACACTGACCACCCTCTCCACCACTGGAGTCTCAACTGCTGACAGCCTGGGCAGGCAGGAGGGTAGGAAGGAGCCTGAGACTCTCAGCCTACTGTCTCCAAATGTGACAACCATTCATTGAGCACTCACTGTGCGTCAAGCCTGTGCTAAGGGCTTCATCTCTCTGACCACAGTTGACCCTCATGGCAGTCCTGTGAAGTTGTGGTAGCATCCTCATTTGATAGAGGAGGAAACTCAGGCCTAGGTAGGGTAAAACGTAGCCCACATTTACGCAGCTCCTAAGAGGCAGAGCTGGGACTCGAACCTAGCTCTGACTCCTAGGCTGGTGCTTGTAGCTCCCTGGGGGCAGAGGCAGCTCTGGCTGCCTACACATTCCATGCCCTGTGCCTATTCTTTGGGCTCGGTGGTAATTTCCTAGGGCTGGTATAACAAATTCCACAAATCGGGTGACAACAGAAATTTATTCTCTCATAGTTCTGGAGGCCAAAAGTCCAAAATCAAGGTGTTGCCTGGGTTGGGTCCTCCTGGAGGCTCTGGGGGAGAAACTCTCCCCTGCCTCTCCTAGCTTCTGGTGGTTGCCAGAAGTCCCTGGTGTTTCCTGGCTGTGAATGCATCACTCCAGTCTCTGCCTCTGTCCTCACCTCGTCTCTTTGCTGTTTGTATGTCTGTGCTCTCCCTCTTCTTATAAAGATATTGGTTATTGGTTCAGGCTTCAATCTAATTCAGTATGCCTTCATCTTAACTAATTACATGTGCAAAGACCTTATTTCTAAATTACATCATATTCTGAGGTTCCAGGTGGACATGAATTTTGGAGGGGACACTATTCAACCCATACACGTCTTTTTTGCATGTCAGTCTGGCCAGTCCTGGGCACGGGGGGATTTTGGTCAGGACTATTTGCAGAAGACAGAGGGAGAACATACACCCTGTTGTTGGAAGGAACAAGGGAGAGAGGCAGATGGGATACCACTGTTTCTTGCCTGACTGGGCTCTGTCTCTCCTTCTGCCTGTGTCTCCCTCCTGCCTGGCTCCACCAGGGTGCTGGCACAGATGAGAAGACTCTCACCAGGATCATGGTCTCCCGCAGTGAGATTGACCTGCTCAACATCCGGCGGGAATTCATTGAGAAATACGACAAGTCTCTCCACCAAGCCATTGAGGTAAGCGGAGGGGCTAGAGGTTAGCGAGAAGGGGATGACTGTCAGATCCCTAATGTAAGATTAGGAGTCTTCATTCCCATGGACTTTCTCCCAGTGGGTTACTGCTTAGAACAGCCAGGATATCGAAATGAAGGGGGTCTGTATTGCATTGTTTATACCAAAATCAATTCCAGAAGAATCAAAGGTTTATAATTAAAGATTTCCAAATAAAACAAGAGCCCATTTTTTGCTTTTTTTAAAACAATGTTATGGAAGTGTAACTTACATATCATGGGTAGGTGCGGTGGCTCACACCTGTAATCACAGCACGTTGGGAGGCCAAGGCGGGTGGATCACTTGAGGTCAAAAGTTCAAGACCAGCCTGGCCAACATAGTGAAAACCCCGTCTCTACTAAAGATACAAAAATTAACCGGGTGTGTTGGCTCATGCCTGTAATCCCAGCTACTCGGGAGGCTGAGGCAGGAGAATCGCTTGAACCCAGGAGGTGGAGGTTGCAGTGAGCTGAGATCATGCCACTGCACTCCGGCCTGGGCAACAGAGCAAGACTCCGTCTCAAAAACAGACAAACAAAAAACTTACAAATCATAAAATTCACCAATTTTAAGGGTACAATTCAACAGTTTTTAGTACATTTACTGAGTTATACAACCATCCCCATAATGCAGCCAGTTTCCAAACACTTCTCTCATCCCACTAAGCTCTCTCATACCTGTTTATCTAGTTCCATCCCCAGCCATAGGCAAACACCAAGCTACTTTGTGTCTCTGTAGATTTGCCTTTTCTGAATATTTCATATAAATGGAATCACCTAATATGTGACCTTTTGTGTCTGACTTTTGTTTTGTTTTGTTTTGTTTGTTTATTTGTTTTGAGATGGAGTCTTGCTCTGTCGCCCAGGCTGGAGTGCAGCAGTGCCATCTCATCTCACTGCAACCTCTGCCTCCTGGGTTCAAGTGATTCTCCTGCCTCAGCCTCCTGAGTAGCTGGGACTGCAGGCATATGTCACTACGCCCGGCTAATTTTTGTATTTTTAGTAGAGACGGTTTCACTGTGTTGGCCAGGCTGGTTGCTAGCTCCTGACCTCAAGTGATCCACCTGCCTCGGCCTCCCGAAGTGCTGGGATTACAGGTGTGAGCCACCACACCTGGCTGTGTCTGACTTTTTTGACATATGGAGCTTATATTTTTGTTCTTTGAGATCAGCCAAGATCTTAAAGTTTGATGCTTGGTTCTACTTGGCTAACAAGACTATGGGCATCTCACAGGCAGTCTCTTAGACTTAGTAGGAATGTCAGCAAATTGTTAGCACATTTTGATACTATATTATGTTTTAAAATCATACATCAAAAAATACCAGAACAAACAAAATCCCAAAAACTCAAAAAATACCAGAACAAACAAAATCCCAAAAACCATGTCTCATAGCAACGATGGGAGTACCTCAGAAAGGAGATCCATACCATATGGGTCAGGAAGTTTGGCCTCCCCAGTCTGAACGTATGGCAGACCATTGTGATGTGTGGTGAGCATGATGGTGTTCGCACCCATTCCCAGCAATGGCCTGGCAGTTAGTGCTCAATAGTGTTTGTTCAAATAAGGAATCACCTAACACGATATGCCAAGGTGGAGGGTATCAGCAGAGTGCCAGAGGAACCACGGGAGGCAGGAGTTCACTCTGCCTCCCGAGGCAAGAGAGTGGTCAGGGTGCTTCTCAGAGGAGAGGGCCCCGCTGGCAGACGGTATTGGGGGTGCACAGGGGCGTGCTGGATAGGGGAGTGGCAGGTGGAGAGAGGACTGAGATGCTCCTGGGGGAAAGGAACAGGTGAAGCCGCAGAGCTCTGCACAGGTCAGATCCCAAAGGCCCTTGAAGCCAGGCCGAGAGCTTGCACATCTTCCTGGGGATAAACAAAAGGGATGTGGTCACATTTATGTGTCAGGGAGATCCCTCTGGCCTACATGTGGCAGTTATGCTGGCCATGGAGAGAAGCCGAGGGAGATGTCCAGACAGATGGGCAGCCGGGAGGAGGGGGCACTGAGGCTGGAAGGACTGTTTTCACTCACTCTGCTCTCTGCCTCTGCCAGGGTGACACCTCCGGAGACTTCCTGAAGGCCTTGCTGGCTCTCTGTGGTGGCGAGGACTAGGGCCACAGCTTTGGTGGGCACCTCTGCCAAGAAATGGTCATCAGCACCAGCCGCCACGGCCAAGCCTGATTGTTCCAGCTCCAGAGACTAAGGAAGGGGCAGGGGTGGGGGGAGGGGTTGGGGTTGGGCTCTTATCTTCAGTGGAGCTTAGGAGAGGCTCCCACTCCCACGGGCCATCGAGGGCCCAGCACGACTGAGCGACTGAAAAACCGTAGCCATAGATCCTGTCCACCTCCACTCCCCTCTGACTCCTCAGCCTTTCCCAGCTTCCTCCCCTTGCTACAGCCTCTGCCCTGGTTTGGGCTATGTCAGATCCAAAAACATCCTGAACCTCTGTCTGTAAAATGAGTTGTGTCTGTACTTTGATGCGGGTGGTGGCAGGGGCCAGCTGAATGTGCTAAGCGGGGCGGTGGAAAGGGTAGTAAATGTGCTGGGGCAAACTGACAAATCTTCCCATCCATTTCACCACCCATCCCCTTCCAGGCCGCGCTAGAGTACTGGACCAGGCATTGGGATGCCTGGGTTCAAATCTGCATCTGCCATGCACTTGCTTTCTGACCTTAGGCCAGCCCCTTTCCTTCCCTGAGTCTCTATTTTCTTATCTACAATGAGAGAGTTGGACAAAAAAATCTTGGCTTCCTTTCTAACATTAACACCCTAAAGTATGCCTCCAATTCATTCCCTTGACACTTTTTATTTCTAAGGAAGAAATAAAAAGAGATGCACAAACACATAAACACATTTCCAGTGAGGGCCTCTGTCTTCTGCCTAGAGCCTCATTAGGGCTTGAGGTTGTAAAGTCTGTCCAGGAGACAGGATTTTCCTCATCAGAGCTTGAGGTTGTAAAGTCTGTCCAGGAGCGAGTCATGTCTTTCAGTTCTTGCAAGGTGTTTCCCGGGAAGCGCACAGGAGAATCTGAGCTTGCGGCAAGCCTGGGAAGGCTGGCCCAGCTGTGCTCTGGGCCTCAGGTCCCCCCCATCCCCTCTCGCTGCCTGGACATTTCTGTATGCTCTTCATCCATTTCAACCAAGCCCAAACTTCCTGTTTTGAACTGTGCAAGGGCACCCGATGCGATCTTGATCTGGAGAGATGCATGGAAAGTTTCCTTCATGCAGGTCACTGATCAGCAAGTAGGCGCAACTGCAGTTCCTCTGCCTTCCTGCCCCCAGCCCTACTTCCGGTCTGTGGCTTCGGTCTCAGATTGTCCAATGACCATGGCATGGGGCTGGCTGCTGTCCAAAGGGCGCAATTCCCTACCCTGGCTGACCAGACTAGTTTATTGAAGGTTAGTGTGTGTTTCTTTTCTTTTTTTTCTTTTTTTTTTTTTTTTTGAGACAGAGTTTCGCTCTTGTTGCCCAGGCTGGAGTGCAATGGCGCGAATTTGGCTCACTGCAACCTCCGCCTCCCGGCTTCAAGCAATTCTCCTGCCTTAGCCCCCCGAGTAGCTGGGATTACAGACATGCGCTACCATGCCTGGCTAATTTTGTATTTTTAATAGAGATGGAGTTTCTCCATGTTGGTCAGGCTGGTCTCAAACTCCCGACCTCAGGTGATCTGCCTGCCTCAGCCTCCCAAAGTGCTCGGATTACAGGCGTGAGCCACTGTGCCCGGTGCGTGTGTTTGTTTTCTTTTCTTTTTTTTTTTTTTTGAGACAGTCTCGCTCTGTCGCCCAGGCTGGAGTGCAGTGGCGCGATCTCAGCTCACTGCAAGCTCCATCTCCTGGGTTCACGCCATTCTCCTGCCTCAGCCTCCCGAGTAGCTGGGACTACAGGCGCCCGCCACCTCGCCCGGCTAGTTTTTTGTATTTTTTAGTAGAGACGGGGTTTCACCATGTTAGCCAGGATGGTCTCGATCTCCTGACCTCGTGATCCACCCGTCTCGGCCTCCCAAAGTGCTGGGATTACAGGCTTGAGCCACCGCGCCCGGCCAACGTGTGTTTGTTTTCATAGCTGTGAAGACAGCAACAGGCAGGTGAGAGAATCTGGTCTTGTCCCTCCCTCACTTGTGACCTCAGACCAGCCATTGCCCTCACTGGGCCGCAGTTACTCCATCTTTATAGTTGGGGGTTGGATCCAACGATTTTGAAGAGCTCTTTCTTAATCTCTGACATAATGAGTCTGAAACAAAGAAAACTTACCTTACCGTGTCTTCACTTCCTTTCTTCTGGGCTATGAACTCGAGTGCCTTGAGGGCCAGCTAAGAGCTTTTTGGGATATTTGTCTAACTTCATTGAACTGTTACTGAAAGATAAATTAACAAAATGGTTCAGAGTTTTGGATTAAGACCTTTGGAACGAACTGACGGTGAGCACAGCAGCGTCAGTTTCCTTCTCTGTAAAACAGGGTTCCTCATTCCAATTCCACCTGTGCTGTAGCCTCGTGGGAGTAAAAGGAGGTACCACTTGGAGGTGCTTGGCAGGGTGCCTGCCTGGCTCGGAGTCAGTGTCACTACCTGCCCTGAACCAGGCTCAGTTGTAGGGGCTGAAAGGTGGAGGCCATGATGCTTTATGGCTTTGATTTCATGAAATCAGTCAGCTGCAGATCACAAAGACATTTGAACCCAGAAAGAAAAGTGCCTTAAAATATATACTGAGGGAAATGGGCTTGGGACAGAAAGGAAAGAAGAGTGGAATCAGGGAATAGAAGTGAGGAGAGCCCATGGGGCTGAGGGGAACACGGAAGAGGAGGCCTAGAAAGCAGGACTGAGGACAGCTAAAATCGGGCACTCGCTGTGTATCAGATGCCGCCCTAATAACCTCAACATGCATTTTCCACATAATTTTCAGTTAAGGTAGTTGTGTTCTGGGACCGGTCGGTAGCAGGAAGGAAACCCCTAAGAGTTTGCGAGGTGAGGTAGACAAGATGAGAAGTGACAGTGTGTCTCCAATTAAGGAGGACTTTAAATGTCAGGATTTTCTCTGATAACCTAGGGGAAGCCTTTGGAGTTCTTGAGTGGGGAAGGTGTGCGTCTAGCTATGCTCTCAGGACAAATGTAGGAAGGCAGGGTGCCCGTTGGGAGCCTTTTGCAACAGTCCTACTAAGAGCCAGGTGCCTGCTGAACAAACCACATTTTTTTCTCGGAGAGTTGTAGCAGAGGAGGAGAGAAGCCACTGCTCTGAACCGGAGCACCCCATTCGTGCATGCATGCAGTTTACACTTAATGAGTGGCTCCTCTGTTCCCTGTCACATGCTAGGTGCAAAAGATACGAACCAATGTGTTCTGGTGCTTAAGGAGCTTCCGCTGAGTGTCCCTCCTGCTCAGCTCTCTCCAAAATGACACTGGAGAGTGCTTCTGTGGCCAAAGTTTAATCGGGAGAAGTGATGGGGGCTAATTTAAAACTAAAAGGAAAGAGAAAGCAGAAGCCCAAACCATTGCTGTCTCAAAGTGGGAGAAAGGGAGGATGGCTGTGATGTTCTAAGGGTGGAAGGGGCCCTCAGAAATTCTCACCTCCCTCTCTAACTTGCCAATGAAACAACCGTCACTTCCAGAGAGGAAGCAACCGGCCCGGGGTACGTAGCAAGATAGCAGCAGACAGAACTGGCACTGCCATCCCGGCCAGGGCCGGTGCTTTTAGAAGCAGCCTCTGTTTTCTCCTTGTGTCGTCACCCATGGAGGTGGGCTTCAATACTCCCTAGCGCCTCACTGCTCCCCAGCCTGCCTTGAGCCTTGCATTTTCCCTTTAGGGCAAACTGTTCCCAAGCTCTGGACTGGGATAGGCCGATCATGGTCTTTGGGGCCACTAGGAAACATCCGAAGGAAGTTGCCCATTGGGAGGGGGGTGCCCTTTTAACCTGAGCAGCGAGCAGTTATTTGGGAATTGCCGCTCAGCCTCCTGCCCGTGGCGGTGGTGTGGAACCACTGGCCGTTTAAAATTTCCCTATAGCCAGGTGCAGTGGCTCATGCCTGTAACTGCAGCACTTTGGAAGGCCAAAGTGGGCAGATCGCTTGAACCCAGTTCAAGACCAGCCTGTGTGTAGCAAAACCCCGTCTCTACAAAAAAAAAAAAAAATAGGAAAAAAAGAAAATGTTGGAAGTAGAGGTGCATGCCTGCAGTCTCGAGAGGCTGAGGTGGGAGGATCGCTTGAGCCCAGGACGCCGAGGTTGCAGTGAGCCATGATCGTGACACTGCACTCCAGCCTGGACTACCAAGGGACACCATGTCTCAAAAAAAAAAAAAAAAACAAACAAAAACCCTATATTCATGGTGCCCCAGCACAGCTGCAAGCAATAAGTCGCCACCAGAATAATCCCGCTTGAGAAGCTTTGCTCCCATGGCCATTACTTCCTTTGCTGTAGTAAAGGGATGATCACCTCATTTTACCAATGAGGAAACTTGGGCTCCAAGCAGTGAAACAAATTGCCTGAAGACATAGGCAGTGCATCGGGGATTGGCCTGCTGGAAATGGTCTTAGAGATGGTCCCAACCAACCCTCTCATTTCACAGGTTTGGTAACTGAGGCCAGAGACAGGACTGTGACCATGGTGTTAGTAAGGGCCAGATCTGAGGCTGGAATGCAGCTGTGCTGATTCCAGGCTCTGCTCTCTCTGCTGACACTTCCTCCTTTACCTATTGATGAGGAAGCCAGACTGAGCTGAGCATGGGAGGGAGAAGTGTTGTCGGGTTGCTCAACCTGAAATTTGGAACCCAGAAACGGTAAACCAGCGCTCTAACATGCCTCCTCATTCCCCACCAGAACTTGGGTTTCCTACAGATTTCCCCACTTTAGGGTTGATATGAGGCAAGTGGGAAATTGTAGTTACATAACTGAGCCCTCTGTTCAGTGGTTAAGTCTGTGGAGGTAGGCAGGCCTGGGTTCAAATCCCATCCACCACTATTAATAGAAGTAAATAAGTAACTTGACCTGTCTGTACTGGCAATACACATTTATTTCTGAGCATACTGTCTAGAACATATGAAGGACTCAGTATGTATATCAGCTCTTTATTATCAATAGTAGGCAGGATTCTATTTTAGAGAAGAGTAATCAGGGTCAGAGTGGGGAGTCTGATGCTCTACACTATGCCTGCTACACGGAGAGCTAAGTGGGGAAAGATTATTAGAAAAATCTCAACCAGACCAGGCTCAGTGGCTACGCCTGTAATCCCAGCACTTTGGGAGGCTGAGGCGGGTGGATCACCTGAGGTCAAGAGTTCCAGACCAGCCTGGCCAACAAGGTGAAACCCCGTCTTTACTAAAAATACACAAAAAAGTTTAGCCGAATGTGGTGGCGGGCACCTGTAATCCCAGCTACTTGAGATGCTGAGGCAGGAGAATCGCTTGAACCCGGAAGCGGCGATTACAGTGAGCCAAGCTCACACCACTGCACTGCGGCCTGGGCGACAAG